CGCTTTTCGTCCTCTCATTTTTGTAAACAACACCTGTGGCACGAGAAGGCAGTGAGTAGGACTTCCCTGACAGAGGTTATATACGCGTGACCATGTGAGAGCATTTGGAGAGGGAGAGCGGACTCTCCCCACTTTCGGCCGTACTAGGGCATTTGGGGGCCCAGTATCCATAAGAAATAAATGGAGTATTAACCAATCGTTGGTCACCGGATACCATGGGACTGCATCTCTTTACGATGCTCCACTGCCATGTGGATCACATCTTCAGGTGAACGTCTCGGAGTGTGGCCCCCGTAAGAAAACAACCTGATTCGGTATGGGCACCCAGGCATTATTACAGCCCACACACAAATAAAATAAAAATGATGATATTTGGTGCTCTCTTGTACCAAAGTTTATATGTTCAAATAAATAAATAAATAAATAAAATCCATTCATCAATCAATTATCAATAAATATAGAGTCAATCAATAGAAAAAAGGATTTCACATAACTACACATTATTTTGTATTTATTCAACGAAGAAAATAAAAAAAAGCAAACTTGTTTCCTTTTACTATTTAATACATTAGATAATTTTATTCTTATTTAAATAATGATTTATTCTAAGATTATTTCAAATCTGAATTGCTAATCAACTTGATGTTTATACTTTACAATCACTTCAAATTACATATATGTAGACATGCACAAAAATTCAGGAAGTAAGATTTGAGAAATGGATATTTTATAGCAAGTTATCAATTTTCTTAAATTGATTAGTTCACTTTTTATTTTTATTTTTATTTTTTTTTATTTTTTGAATTTTAATTAGTAACAAGTTGAATAATTATGTATTTGAAAATTGTGTTTTAATCAGTAGTTTATATTAGCATAATATCTAGGTAGCATTATTAATGAACATGGTGGATCTAATGTAGATGTGAAGGTGTGGATCGGCAAAGCGACACAAGCATATCTACAATTGATGAACATCTGGAAATTAAAACAACACCGAAATCAGAATTTTCAATACAAATGTCAAGATAGTTTTATTGTATGGGGTGGAAACTTGGAGAACTACGAAAGCTATCATACACAAGTGTTTATGAAATGTTGTCTACGCAAAATACTTCGGATCCGTTGGCCGGACACTATGAGCAACAACGTAATATAGAAGAGAAATAACTAGATCCCAGTGGAGGAAGAAACATTGGAAGTGGATGGGACACACATTGATGAAAACACCGAACGATGTTAAGAGGCAAGCCTTAGCTTAGAATCCTCAAGGCCAAAGGAACAGAGGTAGACCAAAGAATACATTAGGCCGAGAAATAAAGACAGATATGAGAAGAATGAACAACGATTGGGTAGAACTAGAAAGGAAGACCCAGGTCAGAGTAGGTTGGAGAATGCTGATTGGTGGCCTATGAACCATTCGGAGTAACAGGCGTAAGCCATACATGATATAAGTTTAGAAAATGATATTTCTTATATTGTACTTCAACGTTATCTAATTAATTTAAGAATAAATATTTCTATTGTATTAGAAGTGATTAAATGTGATAAGTCTTGCAATTTGAACGCTATACTCGGTTCCTAAGCTATTCTTGTAACCCCAAAGCTAGAAATAGTCAGCGACCTGAACACGAGAGAGAAGGCGTAAAGTTTGCGAAAAGTACTTTACTCCAAGGTTCATTCTAATACAGAAAACAGAGGGTTTTTATAATATTCCAAATGTCCTTGTGTTGCTCGAAAATTCTAGAATACCAAAAAACATAGTAGCAGTACAACAACCAGCCAATCAGAACCTCTACATGTGACGTTCCACATCCTTGATGTTTCTGGCTAAACGCTGATTGGATGGAATGCTTCTTAATGTTTCCTGATCCTTGCATGTCTTTTGAGAGAATTTTTCTGGATCATTCCAACAAAATGAGACTTAAATAAGAAAACATAAAAACTTACTAGTAGGCAACTAACACATAAACAATACTACAAGGGGGCACCGAATAGATATGCGCCACATAAATCATTTGATTTATGTGAGGGCTGGAATACTTCCCGAGTGCCAAACCGAAGCAGGTGGTTTTCATAGGGGGGCCACACCCGGAGCCTTTTACATAAAAATCTGATCCACAAGGCAGTGGAGCAACGTAGGTGTAGATGCAGTTTCATGGTAACCGTTAATTGGTTCATACGGGAATTGTTCCTTCCAGATCCTGGTAGCTCATGTGCACCACTGGTATGGAATAAAGGTTTTCCAACAGTAATAAATATTTGTGTATTAAAATTAAATCAGTTATATATGTGTCAGTTAATATGAAATTGTTTAGACAAATAACAATAAATTAACTAACTATGCAACTTACGGAAATATGACGTTTAATATAATAGTGAGAAAAGTTGGGCTTATTTTCACATGAAATATGTATGGGTATGGATCCTGTGATTAGTATTATTATTATCACAATATACATATTCATGTATCAAAATAGGTAACCTGGTTACTGTAAATAAGTTATAAATCTAATGATATAATGTTCATCATGGCTTTACAATCAGTGAGAATGTTTTGATAATTACTGATAATAGATAACCTAAACGGATACTCCTTGATGTAACTAACTTCGATGACAGTTTACTATAAGCTCTAATTTATCGAAATAGTATTCAAAGGAAGAAACTCCTATAGATTTATGTAGCACAGTAGGAAATACTACCACAAACACTCCCGGTGGAATGCAATATATAAGATGGAGTATATGTCTAATGATGAGCGTCAGCATGCATGCTACTGTTCTGAAGTCAGAATTTTGAGAAATGGCTGATTACCGTTACCTTTAGAACCGCGATTAAAACTAGGCAAGAGAAAACATTTCTCTTGTTAGATGTAGTGATCCTAATTCAATTCCTGAAGTGTATCGATTCTAAGCTAAAATTCACCTCTCTTCAATATCATATACATTTAAGATGGATAAAGAAAACATTTGTGTAGGTCATCAAAGCAAAAACAATCATTTCGCTTTACATATTAATTTTGATACAATGTGACCTATTTGTATTCGATTCGCAGATTTTAATAATTGAATTCATGAGTCGTATTATTTATTTGAACACATAAATATTGCTACAAAGGGGCACCGAATACAAATGTGCCATACATGTCCTTGATTTGCATATGAATTGTGATACTACCGAGGTGGATTTCTTAGGAAGCCACCGACCTAAAGGTCTGACCCACAAGGCAGTGGAGCAACATCAGGAGATACAGTACCATGGTAGCCGCTAATCAACAATTTGTTCACACTCCATTTGTTCCATCAGGATCCTGGAGCTCATTGATTTGGAATCAGGGCTTTTCAACGGCGAGACTATAATTTGTGGACGAACCAATCAGGTATAAGATAACAGGTCTTGGATTTTGGCGCGAAACCCACCCATCCATTTGGCATTATAGCTAGTAATAGTTCGTGATGAAAATGATTAGTTTAATTCCTAATCTATAACCATAAATTGTAAGTCATAATCCTAATTGCTCACACAGATTTATAACCCTTGTTTAGTCGCAGTTATTAACTGAATACTATCAATGTCAGTCTAGCGTCGCTCAAAGGTCGTCCATAAATCTTAGTCTCATCATTCCCAACTACCCTGGGTGGATCTTCCATATCCACCAACCCGGTTAAGATGCTTTCATCCTCTCAATTTCGTAAGCAGCATCCGTGGCGCGAGAAACCAGTGAGTAGGACTTCTCTGGCAGTGATTGTATGCACGTGGCTATGTGAGAGCAATTGGATAGGGAGGGCTAAATCTCACCACACACAGCTGTACCAGGGCATTCATGAGTAAATCTACGCTAGACAACCACTAAAAACCCGAACGACCGATTCAAAGTAGTACGAGACTCCTCAACATTGAGCATCCACGATCTCGCACGCGGGACTTGGATCCGGTATCGCGCACGAACGCCCAACCTTTTGACCACTGAGCCGGCATCCAACAGAGTGGAGTCAAATTCATGTCGGGTAGAGACAGGTATCTATCTAACAAGGGATGAACGGTTGCGCAAGATCATGGAGTGACTGAAGTTAGACATTAAAATAACGGAGGATGCGTTTACCTTCGGAATGATAAATAAATTATTTATCACTATTAGAGGACTGGATTCTACTTAAATGTTGATTCGTCTAATGACCAACCTAAAACTATTAACTTATACTGACAAAAAATAACCAAATATGACGACAGCAAAATACATCAGAAATAGACTTTTCATAGGTTATAACCACTTAATAAAGTTCGTGAACAGAAAAGCATTCTGAAGGAAATTCGACAAGATTATTGTGTCTGACTAGCATAAATGATTTAACCAAGGAAAAATTCATCATTTGTGATCCCAACAATTTGTATAGGTTTTCACATTCAGTAATAAGCAATACTATCTAATCCATTATGATGAATCCAATGATCTGAATAGGCAAAAGAAAACAATCCACTTGATATGTAGCAGTGAAAGTAAAATATTATTAGACACTGATTATGGACAAACAGACACAGCCTGATGACTTAAATATATGTTTGCCTTCTACTACACTCTCATTGAGTACGACGGCATATAACTGTGTTAAATAAAGTATTATCATCTAGTGTTAATCTGAATCTTTATTCTGGGTCGTGAATCTTAGATCTGATATGACGTGACTAGTCTCATTACCCCAGCAAACATGAAAGAAAAGAATTTTGAACCATCCGTTATATTGTAGTGAACAAGAACACCAATGGGGAAAATGGAATTGTTTGTAAGATCTAACAACCATATATCAAATGCTCAATTTGCAAAATGTCCATCAATTGTTTCAAATGACTCAGACTTCCTTTGTTCTTGCATTTTCACACAAATTGCATGCTGTCTTCATTCTTTACTGTTCGGTCTTCTTGTCTCTCTGCTGCCAGACATTCTGTTCACGACAAACATCATATACTACTTATGTCTACATAAGAAGCACACATCACAATATCACTAATCATATGCTGGAGTTGACGATGTACAATCGGTGAACATGTAATTTATATCTTTAAATAAATAAATCAATGAACTTAACTAGGTAACCAAGTATATAGTTATACAACGGATAGGAAAACAGATTTGTGATACTATTACTCAACTATTTGAAATGAAAATGAATGTGAAATACTCTAACTAATAGATCATGTATCCTAATTTTTATTCATCCTTACAAATTACAAATACTCAGTAGAGTACATCTACTATTTAATGAAAAAACAAACACACAAACAAACAAACAAACAGACAAATACAATGATTGAACGTACATACAATATTAAAAAGCTAAACAAAACAAAGAAAAACAAACAAGAACCAAGAGAAAAAAAAAACAAGAAGTTTTATGTTAAATCATTAGAGTAAATAGGTATATATTTCAATAGGGATTAACCTATTTGCACTTTAAAAAAAACAACCAACATTATCATAGAAAAACAAGTAATCTCATATTCACAATTGAATGATGGTGATAATAAGAATAATAATAATAATGGAGAAAATAATATAAAGGTTACTTACAATAGAAAGGTTAAACTAAATAAATAGTCAGACAGGGCACAAAAAACGTTTACACTTACACTTACACATACACACACTTATACAAAATACACATACAAATGTAAGTACATTCCATAATCAAATAAATAGAACATAATATGATAGAAGAGAAATGATATCTGTACAAATAAACTTTTTTTTTTCTTCTAAAAACAAACAAACAAACAAACAATTGACACAAAATGATAAACGAATAACAAATGTACATTGAATCAATTAAGTAGTATTAATCAGTAATACTTATTATTACAGTTATAATGTATGATTATTATTATTATTTAAAAAAAGGATTATTACTGGGATATTTATATTAACCAAGGTGTGTAAACGACAAAATAATTATAATAAATATATTTAGAAAACAATCAATTACTTAGGTTTTGTATAGCCATGTACATATATTTAAAGGGTGGGGGGGAGAGAGCGAAAGAGAGAGAGAGAGAGAGGGAGAATGGAAGAAAAGAAACAACTCTGCATAGACAATACATAGTTATATGTTTGCATACAGCACAATATGAACAATTAAATTGAAGTAAATATAATTGATGTCTAGTTAATTTCAACTTGAATTACATTTTTTGCACAAAGAGTAAAAAGCGCAATAGGAAGCCAATTTGTATGAGTAGTAGTAGTAATTGTGTAAAAGTATCCATACAAAAACAGTTTCAGACATGAATATATCCTGAGGGATAAGCAATTAAAAGTATGTTATTAATAATAATAATAATAATCATTATTTTAGTACACTGGAAGACAATGTTATAAATGAATATATGGGTTTATTGTTAATATTGCACGAAATGTTCTTTTTCCAGGAAGGTTGGGTAAGAGTGAAGACAAACTTTTAAAAGTTTACAGTATAATTGTATTTAAATAGCGTTTATTTATTGAAGTAAATGCAATTTGTTACAATGTAAGATGATAAGAAAGAAATCAATTGGAGGTGATGGGCAATAACAAATTAAATTTGATGGTATTTATAAAGCTTACAATCCAACTTCTTGACTAGTAGAAACATATGGTTGGGACAGTGTAGCAGCAGTATTTGATGCTGAACGTGTATGAGGTGGTTGTGATGAACTAACCAAGGATGTTCTTAGCATAGCATTCGGTGTTATAGGGCGAGTAACTGACTGAATAACTGAAGAGGTAGGTCGATGAGTATTACTAACTGATACTTGTTGTTGTATATTTGGTCGTGGAAATGGTTGAAGAGTAGGAGGTATTGCACCGGGAGGAAATGGACCTATTGGGGCACGCCGACGAGGAAGGGTAGCACCTAAAGCTTGATTCACATTTCCTGTATACATATTTCCAGAAGCCGATACAAGTGGATGATTTGATCCTACAACTTGAATATTAAAAAACAAAAATCAATTTAACAATTAGAAAAAACATGAATAAAATAGTAACCAATGTGTATATGATGTTGCCTAGTATTCCTAGCATTTCGTTTTCAATAAGTGACTTTTTCATCGTAATCTATTCAATTTTCATAAGTCTAGACATACAAAAGTGAGGGAGAGAGAGAGTAAAGTTTGCCCTTATGTTAAGCACACATGTGGATTACACAGACCAGTAGACGAACACATTTCAGACTAATATTTTATGATATACTAATTAAACGATGTACGCACATTTAATTACCACTTTATCTACCGTCAATCTAAACCCCATTTTATCTAATTTGGCACTTGGATAGTATCACTATCTGTTAGAAGTACATAAGTATTTCTAGATTGTAATAAATTGATTTTTTTTTCAATCCAATAATCAAGTACAAATGAATACGATATGCTTCTGTGCATAATTAACGAAAACTGACAGATATTTATAAGCTAGTAAATGAGTGGTGGTGTAAAAGATAGCAACAAAGATTAGTTTATTCTTTGATTACAACAATAAAATATATTTTGTTTAACGGTAGTAATGTATGAAAAAAAGTTTATGTATAAGGATATAGTAAAGGAAGAAAGGCCCCCAAATGCCCTGGTACGGCCGAGAGTGCGGAGAGTCCGCTCTCCCTCTCCAAATGCTCTCACATGGCCATGCGTATATAGCCTCTGCCAGGGAAGTCCTACTCACTGCCTTCTCGTGCCACAGGTGTTGTTTACGAAAATGAGAGGACGAAAAGCGAATGTCCGGCGCTTTAACCGGATCCCAAACCAACAGTGCACATGGGCTAGCTCCAGTATCCTGAAGGAACAAATGGCGTATGAACCAATCGTTGGTCACCGGCTACCATGGGACTGAATCTCCTCACGATGCTCCACTGCCTGGTGGGTCAGACGTCCAGGTCGAAGGCTTGGGGTGTGGCCCCTTAAGAAAACCACCTGCTTCGGTTTGGGCACCCGGGCAGTATCACAGCCCTCACACAAATCAATTGAGATTCGTGTGGCGCATATGTATTTGGTGCTTCCCTGTACCTATACTTATGTGTTAAAATAAATAAATAAATAAAGGAAGAAAGAATTAGTTCGTAGAAAGAAATATATGAAGTGATTTTAATCTCTTAGTTTAAAGGAAGACAGAGAGTGTATACACCGACGCCATTGTGGTCGATTCTGACCCATGACACCAAGAGCCTCCAACCATTGGGTTACGATAGTCACGCGGACCCCAACCAAGTAGTCTACATCAACCAACATGGTTCAGACTAGAAGTTAATGACTCCAAGAACTGATGCCACGTTTTAGTTTGGCTTAAAAAAGATTTATCTCAGTTAGAACGGGATATAATTACAGTCAGTGAAGATATTGATTATTATAGTACATAGTGTAGGTAGACATATCACCTCTTAGTGGAACACATAGGATAGCTATAGTCCATGGTTGATGTTAGATGACATAATCTAAAATTAGTCGCAGCAGTACATATGTATACAATCTTCATCTACTTTTAGATAAAAAAAATATAGCATTCTTCATTTCATACGTTCCATCAAACTGAATTTATCAAGTTCAGTTTCCTATTTACACATATTGACAAAATGATTTGTAATTTCTCATGTTAATATAGAATTTCAGGAAGACCAAATTATGAAGCATGGGAAAAAAGAAGTGTATATTTTGACAGAACTCTAAAATTTAGACTGAATCAAATACCTTGAGATAGTTGCTGATTTGCTGTTACAGAACCCGTGGTCATAGGATGATAAGAAGGTAATTGTCCGCTTAAATGAGTTCCTACTTCAGAAGCGACAACAGCAGCAGAGGACTGATGTTGCTGAAGATGTGAAAAATGATGAGGTTGTACAAGACCTGAGTTTATACTATTACTAATATTTATGTCTGCAACACCAGATGAAAGCCCAGTTGATATTGAAGGTCCATGAATTATGGAATGTGACTGAACAATTTGTTGCGGCATAATATTTTGTGAAGAACGAATTGTTGAAGGCATATTATTAGGAGGAATAGGTGGTACCAGTTGTTTTGGACAACTATTTCGCAACAGGAAATCAGCGCAATCATAATTTTTTGAACAATGAGCATAATAGAATGCATTTCTTCCTTCATGATCTGTCACAGTTGGATCACCATTGTACTTTAATACATGGAAATAAAATAAAATCATGTTTGAGTTTAATAAATTCATAAACGGAGAAATGTTAACAAACTACATATGAAAAGAAATAAAGATAAACCTAGTATAAGGTTAAATAAATTTATAAATACAACACATTCCCAGTGCTAATAAAATAAACTATTCATTCAATTTTTACATGGACTGGTGAAGTGAACATTTCAAATACACTTGGTTATGTATTTGCTGGTAAATGAAATCGATAATCCACCTTACAGTGCATGTAATAACATGCAAACCGCTGATAAAACAGTATGGAAGAAGCACAACAATCAGTCACTAAGAATAACAGGTAATACTAGGAATAATGTTTATCGTTCACGCGAAACAATGCAATAAAAATCGAACCGGATCGACTTTTAGTTTGATGTTGGTAAAGTTATCGTAATCAACGATGAATGTAACTAGAAAGGAATACCAAGAGAAATACGATGATATTAGAACTACTTACTGTGAAACGTGATCTAATTTAGTAGTTTAGATGGGGAATTAACGAAATCCCTATATGCACAATTGAAATGATACAACTGAGAACATGTACTTTTACGACGAATAGTGTATTCAATGCAAAAATTGCTTTTCGAATAAAAATAAGATAAAAAGCCAACATTTATCCGACAGATAACAGAGAAAATTCGGATAATCATGTGAACAATTTTGGAATTAGTTGAACTGGAGAATCGATTAGATGAGATAATGAACCGTAGCCTTGACAGTTCGTTCATGATATATTTACGCTGCTCAAAACCCTGGACGTTTTAAAGTACTTAAATCTAATTGTAGTTTACAACTATGACGGAAAGTCAATCCTCAACATGTCATCCTTCAAATTACTAACTTTATTCCCTCGACAATAAACCGTTTTAAATTATATTGACCAACTGGGAGGTTTTGAAAACTATTATAGGAAAGGCTTGCGGCATATTGTGAACAAACAGCTTACCCATAAAAGCAACTGTAAATAAACTAGATTTCCGAGAGTAGCAGCAATGTGTATAGCTGCTCGTGGATCTTGAAGTGAATAAGCTGCATTGACTGTTTCAGGTGTAGCTAAAGCTAGACAGAGTATAACTTGACGTGTATCTTGACGAGCTATTGCATCAATCAACTGTCGTTGAAGTGGAGCATCAGGATAGGGTAATGGAGGCAGAAATTCTCGATGTTGATATTTAGCTCGAATCCACATCTCCTTTTCCTCTCGTGAACTTGAAGGATCTGGTTTCCTGATAACCATTAGATTAATAACAATAAAATTAAGTTTATTATAAAAATAGGGAAAATGTAGTCGTTGTTAAAAGCCTATATATTGCATTTGAAAAAATAAAACAATACAAGGAAAGTCTAATTCTGCAATATATGATTGAGAAGCAGTCCTTCACTTGATTAGTTGTTCGGTAACCTAATATAAGCAATCAGCTTAACAAAACACTTAGAACGATTCACAAGTTAGTTAAAGAAATAGAAAACGTTGCTTACTAAAATGGTAGTGTGTTGCGCGCTACTTACATTGATATAAGTAGTATATAACGCGGGTTGAAATCGTAATGTCTGGCAGCAGAAAATGGGGGAAGATCAAGAAAGGAAGAGCGGGAACACAATGAAATTTGTATGAAAACGCATGAAAAATGAAATGTCAGACTATCGATTGTCCCCCACACGTGTTCTGTTCTCTACAGTATTCGTAACTTTAGTCATATTATGATTTTGTATAAATCTGATTTATAATACTTGTCGTACAACCTATTCAATCTGATGGTCACGCAATCCAAATTGAGGTAGGCAGTAGATGTATAAATTTAATAGGTATTCAAAATATATAGTTTGATAGTCAAGTGTAAGTCTTACAACAGATGGTAACAGTTAAAGAAAACAAAAACGACAAACTGTTACAAACTTTAAAAACTAAATTCGAATCACTTCTGCTCAATAAGTAACATCTGGTACAATCATTTATGAGATACTACCTACACACAACTGATGTTTGGAGACAAATATATCAACATAAAACTGTATACAGATGATATGATAAGGCGCAAGACTGTTACTCCTAGAATGAGCAGTTGACTTTTATAATAACCTAGGGTTCTAAAGACATATACAAATTTCTCTGAATGACCAATGAATCCTATGGAGATGTGAATCAGCTCAATGCTATTATTAGGTATTGCAAAAATCAAAATCAGATGGAAATTCTGAGGACGACGTGAGTATATACAATACTACGAAAAAAGTGTAAAGTGTACAATTGGTGGTGTTTTATAAAAAGCTAAACGATGATCACCTATTAATTCTTTAGCAAATAGTGCTCATTATTGAAAAATTTCATAGGAATTACACAACCATTGAACGAATGGATGACCATGCCATGGTAACACACTATAAACATCTGAAGATTCTTAGAATCTTATACGAATTAAACATCTTGTGATGTTGATAACAAGATGTTTATGTTAATATCATTGTGGCATCATTACTTTTAAGAATAAATACTGCAATATTTCAACAAAATATCTAAAACTTATCATATCGTGTATAGTCATTATTGAATTTACCGTAGATTCCCAGCATTTACAGGTGCAGCAGCTTCCCAAACAGAATTAGCTAATGTATTACCAATAGCACTCATTACAGTGACAGATTCAGTAGACCATTCATCTAAGTGTAAAGAACGTATACGTGAAATATGTGTTCCAAGTTGCCGATGTATACCACTGCAACTAATACAAACCATAGCGCCTAAATTAAGACTTGCCCAATCTGGTTCTAAAATAGAATAATTCAGAATTTATTAAATAATAAGTATTTCATACAATTTTTAACAAAATAACTATATACTATCGGGTGAACTTTTTATATAATAAGAGTTAAACATTCACTTGTACGTCATTAGGAGTGAGTCAATTAATAGACAAGTAATATCATGAACTGAAGTCGAAAATACACATGACCTGGCTTTAATATAGAAGAATGATAAACGTTACGAAAACTGAATGGATTGATTGTGTGCACAAACTAGAACACAACGTCCATTCAATATGCCCTTCATAGTTTCTCATGGTTTCCAAAATGCTACGAGTTAGTCATAAACAACAAAGGGTGTGACAAAAATGTTTTGCTTATCATGTTACTATACAATTTAAGCATAACGGGATGAAATTAACATGATAAATAACAAAGGAGTTACAATAATCATACTACCGACAATAGTAAGTACTAAACATTGAGAACGCGGTTCCAGAGAAAAAAAAATGAAAGGCATGTCTGACTCATTGTAATCGATTCTACGTTACATTACTTAACACCCTTAATCACAAGACGGAGTTATTGCGCGAACCCAAACTAGGTAGCATGGAGCTATCAATATGGTTCAGATAAACAGTCAAGAACTTGTTGTGAATGCTGAATGGATAAGAATTGAAGTTAAAAATATCCAAAAAAATGATATGAAAATCGAAATTATGTATCATTAGACCATAATTGAAGACTTAGAAGCACTGGACGGCCGTGAAGTTCTGGTGTGGGACTCCTCAGAAGTGCGCATCTACGACCACGCACACACACACACGGCAATGGAACCCAAGACGGTCGCTCAGTGCCGTGGATTGATTGAATTTAGACATTAGAACAGTTTGATCTGGAATCAGTTGCCCAGACGTTAAGTTCTGGGTTCGAGTCCCGCTCAGGATCATGGATGCTCACGCCTGAGTCCCATACCACGACGAAACAACGATTCAGTGCAATGCTTCTAAGGCTTTCAGTGGTAGTCAAATTGGATCGGTTCATGATTTTAATGAAATTCAACAATCTCCACAACCCCCTCTTTACTGACGATATATATATATATATATATATATATATATATATATATATTACCAGTGAATGGAAAGTGTACTTACATTATAGCACTTATATTGGTTGTACATATGAATAGATCATACAAAGAAAAAACAACACAATAATTGAAAGATTGTAGAAAACAAACATGCACAATTTGCATAAAACGAAATGAACCAAAAGTAAATAAGTATTGTCCTTGTTTTTTATTTTTCATTGTTCATTCACGTATATATATATATATATATATATATATATATATATATATATATATATATATATATATATATATATATAAAGTTTAGTAATAAATAAAGATATATACATAAACATGCACAAAGAGAAAAGGTTTTTCTTTTTTTTTTTTTGTTAAAAAGTAAAATTGAGTGGTTTCTATTTTTGTTTTGTTTTATAATCAATAATTAATAATAAGAATGATACTAGTAATGATCGAGTTGTTTTGTAATGAATGAATACTTAATGATCAGTTTTATATTGAATGTATATGAGATAATGTATGAAAGTAGATCACACCCAATAATAGTAATAAAATTAAACTTAAAATTGATCATTAAAAGATTAATAGATGATTGTATGTAAAATACTGTTACTCTTATCAATCTAGAATGAATGGCTGGGATATATGTTACGTATGCCAAACCACCGACTGCCCCCGACGTGCGATGTTTTATGGTATAGGAGTAGGTTGGAAGAAAGCTAGGGGCGACCAGATCAAAACATGGTACAAATCCATAAGGTCACTAAAAAGTGGACTGGTTGGGGTCCGCGAGACGATAGCAACCGATGGTTAGAGATCTTGAATGACATGGCTCAAAATCGTTTGCAATGGCACAGGTGCATCCACTCTCTGTGCTCTCTCAAACTCTAATCTTCTGAATACTTCATGTCTTTTGTTTTCTTTCCAAATCTATTCCACTGGATTATACTCCTTAAATAACATCATCAAACCCTAATGTTCCCTATCACTACTTATACTTTCACTACCTCTACCACTATGGGATTTGAATCGATAACTGAATCTCTGTGCTATTGTGGTATGGCAAATCGAACTGATGTATGTACGTACGAAGTTCTACGTTGTTACTGACTGACTGAGAATGAATAAAAATAAATACAAGATTCTAGATAATATAGAGATTTAAATTGATAGATAGTGAGATAAACTGAGAAATAAATGTGATAAGTTTACTATTAGAAATGAAGGAATGCATCAAAGGAATTGATAGCACCTGATAAGAACTAGAAAGAAGAGCTTGGGATAGAAATGGTTGAAGTTCTCTGGTTAGTGGCCTATAATCCAACGAGGGGTAACAGGTGTACGCAAGCAAAAAAAAAACTTGTACTAATTGTGTTTGTGTTTTATCACTGTTGATATTCACAATTACAATTGATTAGTTAGTGTTATCATACATGTACTCTGAGTGAAGTGGCTTAACATGAATTTGGTGTTTAAAGCCAAAGGTACTGAGTTCGAGTGTTAATACAAACATCAATAATAGGATGCAAGTATATTCAGTTCACGAGTTGCATACAGAATGAAACACACGTCTTGACTTTCAATACTATGATTGAGGACTCAAATTTGTATCCAAACATACATACATACACACACACACGCATTTATTTACTCCTTATAAGGAATATCAAAAATTGTATATCTTTAATTTTTAAAGCTAAGAAACGCTACTGATTGAAACAAATGTGTAAATGATGGCATTAGTATCTTTTCATTTGTACATCGCCTCCAATCACAGAATCTGAAATAGTACATATTCAAAGAAAACGCTATTCATAGGTACACCATAAACAATTAATTGACATTAATTTTTTCAAGAAATCAACAACACAACAGCCACGCAACTGTCCCCAATCACAAGTATAGGGTACTATTTTACTATACATATATACATCGGTATGTGACAGACAAGTTTATTTTATGTATTTATTTGAAAACATAGATATTGGTACAAAGGAGCACCAGATACATTTGCGCCACACAAATCTCATTTGATTTGTGTGAGGGCTGTGATACTACACGGGTGCACAAACCGAAGCAGGTGGTTTTCTTAGGGAGCCACACTAAGAGCGTTCGACCTGAATGTCGTGAGGTGATGCAGTCCTATGGTATCCGGTGACCAATAATTTGTTCATACGCTATTTGTCCCCTCAGGATACTGGAGCCCACATTCACCATTGGTTTGGAATCAGGGTTTTCCAACTTCTCTAGGTGGACTCTCCATGTCCACCAACCCGGTTAAAGCGCTGGACATTCGATTTTCGTCCTCTCAATTTTGTAAACAATACCCGCGCCACGAGAAGGCAGTGAGTAAGACTTCCCTGGCAGAGGTTATATACGCGTGGCCATGTGAGAGCATTTCGAGAGAGTGAGCGGACTCTCCCCACTCTCGGCCGTAAACAACAGAATGAAATTATTAAGGTAAATACCCAAAATAGTGAGAGTTGAAGAGATATTGGTGGCGACAGAAAAAGACTAGAGATGGAGTATTATTTAACAAGAAATAATAACTTCTTCAAATAAAAAGTATAAAACAATATTGAACCGCAACATTTAAAAGAAAATAAAGAATGAACCGATTTGCACCAATATGAGCAATTCTGAGCTACGTCAAATCACACAACGTATCCCACCATTAGTCAAAATAATAAAACAAATCACAACCAGCTAGTTTGAATCTGCCAACATAGCTAACAACAATATCTAGATGGATTCGGGTTTAAAACAATAAATCAAGTGACTGACTTAATGAGCCGAAACTGTCGTAAAAAGAAATGTTTTGTTTAATTGAACTGAAATGATCCTGACATAAGTATTACAAGCTAACTGAATAACACCAAGCGAGAAAATCTTATTCAAGCACTGTAAGAGAGAGAAACCAAGTCAATATACTCACACATATATGGACTAGTCCTGATCTGCAATAATACAATACTTTTCAGTTATGTTAGTTAATAAATATATCAAGAACACATTCTTTACTACTGTATAACGACTACTCGCTAATAATCGCATGTTTTAATATACGACGTACGATTAGTGACACGTTTGTTTTGAGATTCTTCACTGAATTTTTTTTTCAATTTTGAGCTAGTGAAGATACACCGTTAAAAGTAAACAGGAGAAATGGAATGTAAAATAACATTCTAAACCAAACTAATTTATGTAAGTACTTCACTGGTTCTATTCAAACAACTTATCTAGGCCATTATAGAAAATTGTGAAACGAATTGATCCGATGAATTTATTATATGATGAGCAAAATAAGTGTAAAAAATTTTAATATCTATACACACGCGAATAAACACAATACAAAACAGTGATTAATTTAACTAGAAATTCGGGATCTACAAATTGTACATTTAAAAAACATCAACCTTACCTGGTGCACCACAGTCTGCACAAAAATCATTTCCAGCTGCAGATCTTATACTCTGAATTAAATGTTCTGTAACAGCTAATTCATTAGCATCACCTGCACCACAACGACTAGAATTAAGACTGTTGGAATCACCATGTCGACCACTCCCTGAACCTAATCCACTAACATTGGAAAGGTGGTTGGAACCACTAGCGCCACCACCTCCTGTAGTACACCCAGTAGCAGCAATAGCACGAGTACGTTTAGATGATTCATTTAATTGAAGTCTTGTCATAATAGCACGTTCAATATACATAACCCATTCATCTCGTTCATCTGGACCAGTCGCTTCAAAATGCCACTGACGATCCATTGATATCAACTGAAATTCATAACCTTCGGAATCTGATAAAGAAAATCCATATGTCGGTGAAATAATTAGTCTTAATGAAAATTTTTTTGAAACAATCAATTAACTAAGGATAATAAAGAGAATTGATGTTTACTTCAGGTATTTTAAATTCCAATACTTACTGATCATCCATTGTGATTAATGTTTAAATTTCATGCTATTGTTGAGAATCTTACTGATGCTGGAAATCTAAATGAATGCAAACCGGTTGGCTTAAAGTAGACAAATACAATCCTACAAACTGAAATATTCTCCACCAATCTCCATCTTATTTGCAGTACATAAATTATAAAAATATGTCAAACTAATAATTGTAAGAAATAGCACCACACAAGTTAGATTATAGAGTCAATTCTAATAAATATCAACATAAAAATGAGAGAACATAAGGTTGAATGGTATAAACAGGCGATAACCAACTGATTCGATGAGCGATGTTGATAGAATGCTACAGGATGCCAAAGTAAAGTTTGGCATGAAGATATTAACTGCTGGTTTAAACCATATTGGTGAATATAGACTACTATGTTAAGGTCTGAATTATTATTGTGATTGGTAGTTGCTAACCTTCAGTGAAATCTACTCAAAATTGTATACACTGGCACGGACAAGCTTACCCTTTACTTGAACTAGATTTTAGGAGTTCAAAAACATTTTACGCTTAGTATTCCAACAGTTTACAGTTCCTTCTTGAATTATATTCTCTATCCCCGATCCTCATTATTACCGCTACTACGACCACTACTTTCACTGCTTCGGTATTCATCTTGGAGTGATAGACACATACGCCAGGTTTTACAATGATTACGACTAACTACATAGAATAATCTTTTAACTGCAACACTAATGTAGCCGATAATGAAAACAGTAAAAAAACAAACAAATGAATAAACTGATGAAGATAGTGTTAGGACAAAACAGTTGAATCACCTGAACCATCAGCATTATTACTCTTTGGATTAGATTTAATACGTCGATGACGTTTTTTCACTGATGATGAATCTTTGCCTCCTGTTAGAAGTTTTTACGAAGTTAAACTGAAAAAAAGTCAAACAAAACAAAGTTATTGGGATAAAGAGTTTGTGAATATTATTCAGTTTGATGTTTTTTTCCTTACAAGAATTCTAACTATGTGAAACCCTGTATCCAATATCGGAGAGGATACGAAAATTATTCTACTGAATCTATTCGGGATTTTATTTCTCTTTAAACAGTTCACACGCTTACAATCGAAGTATGAATTTTTAATTATCTTGGAAAGTATTATATACATTCACAGGACTGAGACAGAATTTAGCAGAAAATATTCCAGACTTAATTCAATTCATAATAGTTATGTGATGAACATACAACATTAATCCTGTTAACTGACAACGCCAATATGTAATTATATTAAATAAATAAACTTTAAGCACACAAAAATCAATATCAAGATAGAAATGTCTAGAGTTTAGTGAAATAAGGTTTAGAACAGATTATCAATATATCATGATAAGAAAATCATGTTTGTATTGAGAATATGGTCAGCTTATACTATTAATATGAGGGATCAAGTATAGATTAAATAAATCGATCAATACTAATACATAATGACACTTAAAGGATTAGACTATATGTAATAAGAATTAAAGATTTGTCTTTGTCAGAGAGATTCGACGACTCGAGAGAAAACGATCGAATGGGTAGCAACCACATGACCTTGAAAAAGTGACATGAAACAATGAATTAAATAAAAAAAACAATCACCGAGGAGGAAGAAAAGTGAATTTAATTCGGTATTTACGATTTACTAACACTGCTTAATTGATGCATTAAAATAGTAATGGCAAAAAGCATTAAAAATTAATAAGGGTAGTATTTTAATACTGATGCTAACGAAGAGATTCATAAAATACTGCAGTACTCTTATTGCACGAAAAATTGAAGAAATTCATCTCAAGTTCATTTTTCGTAATAATGGCTACGCCCAATCAAAAGATGACAAGGAAATCGACATATCGTCATAAAACTAAACTCAGAAATCAACAAAAGGATCGTTCTTCAATGTGTGATAAATACTGTGAAAACTATTACAAAGATTATGAAGCTCTTTAGAATTAATGTTACTCAAAAGCGAGCAGTCATTTGATTCCATTCTATGAAGACCAAAAGGCACAACGGCAAAGGAAGACACATCATCTATAAAATAGATTTTATCAAATGCAAGAAGTGTTACATTGGATAAACTTGCCCCGCAATGAGGTGATATGATATACTAGCACAGATATCAATGAATTAGAACAACCATAGACATAAATTCGACTGAAAAAACGTCAAAATTTTAGGTCGAGGGAATCCCAGAAGTATGGGATTTTATAATGAACACATGAAGAATGCATCACATAAAACAAAATGATGACAGTGTGCAGAGACTGAAGCAATATGATTCATGAATTACTGGAAAACAATAGTTCTGAATACAAAATACACGTTAACGAAAAATACAAAGAAGATGAATTTGTCTATTTGAAATGAGAGAGAAAAGTTATATCAGATTAAACGTTGGTTTTTATTCCAAGCTAAGTTTGATAAAACTCGAGGCTCGGATTGCCTATGAAGTGATATTGAAGTTGTAAATAACCAATAGATATTCCTCAAAAAGCCATTTCTCATTTCATGGAGTCAAAAAAATAGACTAAAACAAACTTGGAATTACTTACAAAAAGAACTGTCAACAGATATCAATAATTTGTGGGAGACAGCTATGGTTGTACACAACAAGTCGTCAAGCATCTCACACACTAAGAAGCCAAGTTTCACTAGTATAGCGAGGAAGTGCTCTCGTCAGTACCTTGCACAAATGACGTTTTCCTACCAGATCAACGTCAGGAGAGGCTATCATCACCAGCAGGAGATGAATAATATTTCATCCTGCTAATTGTGAAAGAAGCTCGCTTTTTCATGTTTTGGTTCAGATAACAATATGACAATACTATTTTTGCAAGTTTACTCACACAAGTGAATCATGGTAAATATCCATAAATCGACATAAGTATGAGAATGATGTTGCATACATGTTCATAATTGGAGATCAGTTGTTTAGATAGTAAACCTAATCAAAGAAAGTGACTTTCAAACACTGGGTCACAAGTTCAAAACCCGTTCCCTTTACTGTTGTTTGAATAGTAGTCAGAATAAATACATGTGTTTCTATGATCATTGTTCTACTTGACAACGGTATTATTAATCGAAATATCAGATCAGACAAATATGTTATGTATGCATATATGGTACTAATAAAAATCATTTGATTTCTGTTCATTTCATTTAGCACGAACTTTAAAAGATGTACCAAATAAATTGTAACGTTATTTTCAACCATATTTTACTTACTTTAAATGAATACAGAAATATTGAAGAACCATTTTTAATAAGACGAATCAATTTGTGCAGTATTGATAATTATTCCCATGTAGAAAATACAGCCGAACAATAAACCAGACAATGAGACAGGATAGGACGAAGTGGAGGGGGAAAGGAGAAATAGGTAAAACAAACCGATAAAAAAAGTGTGAGATGAATAGATACCAAAACAAGTAACAAAGTACGTGCCAATTATACAAATAACTACGAATAGAACAGTAGAGACAAGGTAAAAATCAAGAATGAATAGAAAGTTCGTTTAGTATTATACAATAAATTGAATGAGAAGTTGTTACACAGAAGAGAGAAATTGGGTAATTATTAGACAAGTGCTGTTTGTTTGCGGTAAATGTAGTTTTTATCAAAGAATGACCGTTGTCAGCTCGAGATTGCTTTGTTTCTTAACAAAATGTATTCTGTTTAGTTTTTTTTTGGATTCCACTGATAATACTTTGACCTGTTCACTATTTATCCGCCTAATTATCTCTATCTGTGCCTGTTAAAAATGTGGTAACTTTGTTTAGTGGATATTTGTGTTAATTTCCACATTGTTCATGGTTGACTGAATAATAAATTAGAAACCTACTAATAGCAAAGATTGGTTGAATACAATTTCGATGTTAGCACACAAGTTTTATGGATTACCGAAACATGATTAAATCATTTTTCCTTAAGAATTCATAATGTAATGTGCACCTGAGAGAGATAAAGTGAAAAACGCGTTAATTAGTAAATCTTATGTGGAGCGAGAAACATTCAGCCCATGAACAGTTATGAATGTATCAGAAGGGGTTTTGTGGAGATTATAGTAATTTCAATCGTTAATATCATGAGATCATGAATGTGCACTGCTGAGGGGTCCCACAAAAGGATGAAAAGGCCGTCCAGTGCTTTCGGGTTTTCCATGATGGTCTAACTTCAATTAACTCATGATCTCAACTATTGAAGTTATGAATGTATTTGGTCAGTTAATTTTATATTCATACAATATACATTTTGTTCACTTAAATCCCAAAAGACAATTTTTACATATCGATACTGTGAGAAATAGCATGTAAAATCAAAACATCAGATTTTCATGAAAATAATATGCCTTAAACACAAATAGTTGAAGGATATTGTGTACAAAACATTATGATCTGTGATTTGTAATCTCAGTAGCAGATTATTGAGGCTAAGATTATTTCGAAAAGCGCTGAAAGTGAGAAAACAAAACAGGCAAACATATAATGAACCAAGACGAAACAGATGGTGCAAATGGCCAAGTTAGAATGCATAATACGCGGTCAGAGTTGTTAGTTAAAAATAATCCTCAATGACACAGTTGTATATATTTGCTATTTTTAGTGAATTATGCTCTTTCAATCATTACATAGTTTTGTACGTCATCTAGTACATTATAAAACGTATTTTCGGCTTTTGTTGGTCCGAGGCAGCCAACAGGAAATTGTGGACCTAAATTTATTGTTGCATGGAATTGGTTAGTAAGGTGTTGCGTAACCTTGAAGAGACTGGCATATTTGATTTCAATTCATTTATGTTTCCAATCTGAAACTTTACTTTTGAACTATTGTGGTCGCGACAAACCTCTTGTAGATCTGAGGTATTTATAATTAACTGATCACTGAACAATGACTAATATCATGGTTGTTTTGTTAATGTTATTCCCCACCCTTTCCAATCATGTTAATTATTTATTTAATTCAGCTGATATGAAATATGTAAAACTTACATTGAAACACTATTTGCGATATACTTCTAAATTATTTATGATCAACTGATCAGTGTAGGTGGAATAAATCATCTATTAAGAACTCAAAATTAATAACGTTTATCGACTATACAGAAGAAGATGGTAATCAAAGTCACAATTCCATGTTACTTTGAAATGCAACCGGAACTGATAGTAGGTTAATCTCATATAACTTCACATATTTAGTGACGAATAGTTTTGATAGAGTAACACAAAAAAATGAAAGTCGACTAATGACAAAATAAACTTAGCAAATAAAGAGAAAGACATATAAATTAATGCTTTTGACCTGATGCTGAATTATCATTAATAGGGGCTGAATTTTCAGTAGGATTCTTAACATCTACGCCAGTTGATCGACGATCTATTAGAAAAAAAAACAGAGAATTTAAGGAAATAGAGTATATAAACAAAAAAGGATAATAGTTTAGAAGATCCGATAGAATATATATTTATTAATGTGAATATATATTGATCGCTAGGTCTAGTTACATAAACTGAATAACAATTTAGGATTATCCAAAGCAATTAACCAACCAAAATCAGAGAAACTGAAAGTACCTATTGAAAGGACGTGAAAAATTTCCTAATTAATTGATGTTATCATTTACTTATTTTTATCATTTTTTATTTTAACACATTGATATTGGTACAAGAAGGCACCAAATATATATACGCCACACAGATCTCATTGAAAATGTGTAAGGGCTGCGATACTGCCCGGGTGCACAAACGAAAGCAGGTGGTTTTCTAAGGGGGCCACACCCCGAGCATTCGACCTGAAGATCTGATCCACAAGGCAGTGGAGCATCGTAAGGAGATTCAGTCCAGTCCCATGGTAGCCGGTGACCAACGATTGGTTCATACGCCATTTGTTCCCTGAAGATACTGGAGCCAGCCCATGTGCACCATTGATTTGGGATCCGGTTAAAGCGCCGGACATTCGATTTTCGTCCTCTCATTTTCGTAAACAACATCTGTGGCACGAGAAGGCAGTGAGTAGGACTTCCGTGGCAGAGGCTATATACGCGTGGCCATATGAGAGCAGTTCGAGAAGGAGAGCGGACTCTCCCCACTCTCGTCCGTACCAGGGCATTTGGGGGCCCTACGATTTTTAAGACTGGAATCTCCGGTCTACTTAGTCCATTTTTTTTATAAACTGTGTTCTCTGAACTCACAACTTTAAAAGCAATAATGACCTATCCTATGTAATTATTCTTTATTGGATTAATAAATGGAACTGTTTTTTATCCCTTATACGAACTCAGCACAAATGAATGGGGGAAAAACACCAGTCACTTATTGATTGTAGTAGTCAACTTTAAAAAAAAACTTACATGACATGAGATGATTTTCAGGATATCTATTAATTCTAATTATATCTACTAGAAATTTTAAAAGTGAATATCAATAGGCGAACAAGTGTGAATGGAAGTAAAAATTGATATCCGAAAGATGACAAAATCAATTACTGAGAAGTTACAAACAGGGAAAAAACATCTTTATTTTTTCAACAAATTAGAGAGAAAAAAATTTTGATAAGAATGTAGTTGTTTAGTATCTCATAATTACCTGTACCACCATCATTTAATTGACTTCGCAACAGACCATTACTTGTTATACGACTTCCAACTTGACGAAATGCTACACCAGGAATTTTGACGGTTGTTCTACTTAAGTCAATTTCTTTACCATGTGAATTATCCATATAATCCTAAGTAAAAACGTGAAAATCAATAGCAGAACAGATCGTAAAAACAAACTAATATATGTGCGAATAAAGTATTCGAATAAACAATTCTAACCATGTGAGTGTGAGAAAATGTTTCGTACAAAATGAAGTATATAAAGGTTGGATGTGATTATAAACGGGATATGACCAGGAGCCCAACACGAACTTATAAACTAAATATTAGACCTATATATATATATAGATGTTACTGTGTATTATCAAAGATCACACGATGTTCTAAGAGTCAGTTGTACAAATGAAATACTCTCGCTCCAATGTCTCTCCGTTTATTCCGCAGACTCTAGTATCTATCGAGTGAAGAATAAAAAAGTCTATTCTTTGAATGTGAACTTTAAAGTAAGGAAAAGATCTGATTGTTATCTATCCCAAGTAGTGAAATGCTAACTGAACCCTAAAGAAGTAGCATTATTACCGCATTTGAAGATGACGTTCCAGATGGCTCAACTCCCCAATGACTGTCTGTATTACCTCTTGTATTATTCGAATACACTTTCCATCCTGAATTCCTCCACGTGGAGCACTACTTATTTTTACAATATTGGACGTCGATTTGTCGTTTCTACTATAAAGATAATACTAATGTAGTTACATATTATGGTTGTTAGTTTTATATTATCATCTTTGGTACAATATGTAGGTCATTTCAAGATTCGACTTTTGTACTAGTTAAGTATAAAGAAAAAGGAAAAAAAGAATTATTTTGTTATAAAAGTTCAGAGCGATTTGTTGTATCATCAGACAAATTTGGCATAAATTATAGTTATCACCAAAGTTAAACTACTAGAAGATCAACGGTTGAAATCAGTGCAAGTAATAGCGAAATTGAAGACTGTATAAGTCCCATCCATATGGACTTTTGACTGTTATTAATATTTTCGATGTGTATCCCATCGACAGTATTGCCTACAGGATAACTCATTTCAACGATCAACCCGACTCTAACATTATATTTAATACAGAGTATTACCAGTGATAAGAAGATCCATTTTCAGATTTCATTATATCGGTCGATATGATGTATGAAAGAAGTCGACAGATTATTCGTAGTGTATAGTCTAATGGATTTACCAATATGAAACCGTATAAATTGACATGATCACTATTGGATACAATTTACAAGGATCATAAATCACAACAACAACAACAAAAACTGTACAGACTGTTGGAAATGTATATACCAGTCAAGACTAGTCTATAAGAGTAACAATATTTCAATATATTTTGTAAACGTATATTATATTTTCCTCATTTTACCTCTTTTAATATATAGATTTTAGTGTTTCTTTTAAAACAACCATATATATATATATATATATATATATATATATATATATATATATATATATATATATAATGTATAAATCCAACCTATTTAGTAAATATACACTGGCATGCATACCTAATAAGATGTTAAATTTATCCCAGTTAGGAAAATTTCTTTGTTCAGACATAGCCAACCATCATGAATGATAAGCAACAAAAATATAAATCAAATGAATCAATTTATTGGACATATGTTACAAATTTTATTCATATATACAATAATATACATGGTTACTGTTCAGGTTGCTGTTGTTGCTTTACTAGAAACTATTCAATATGATAGTTTATGAATTCTTAATGAAAGTAAACTGATTAACAGAAGAATAAGAGTAAAGAAATGTGTTAACAAGTTATTTTTCTAATGAAAGATAAATTTATGATAAAATCTTATCCAACATTATGACAACAACATCAACAACAACTGGAATGACCTAAAATAAAGACTTTTCTCAGTATATAGATGATGACAGATAAATTTAAGTAAAGAAAGATAGTGAATGAACGCATCAGTAAGTGCTGATACAAATTATTTAAAGTAACAGAAAAGGTCAATATGCTTAATGACTTGATTGTTTCTTACAAAGAGGACTAAGGGTTTTTAAACAAAGATGGATAGTGGCTAGCAATGGAATCAAGGACGAGCGTTTAGTCTTATTTGGGACCCGTCAGCTGGATGTAACTACATCCCAGAGTGGATATTCACTCCGGGACGCAATGGCGTTTGAAGCGAACGGTACTGGGTTCGAGTCCTGGAGTGAACATCAAATTTGGGATGCAGGTACATTCAGCTGATGGGTCGAAAATGGGACGAAACGCGAGTCCTGGATTTCACTGCTAGCTACTATCCATCTTTGCTTAAGAAGCTTGTGACATAAAGCTATATCGGGACAATGGGCACAGGATGCACATGTGCCAACATAAGACTGATCAATTGCAGTCCCAAATAACAATACAAGTTAAACAACACCAAGTGAATTTAGGACTAAGGAGTGTTATAATCAAAAGACAGAAATTCATCTCAAATACTTTGTATTCTCATTTCAAGTGTTTAAAAAGAAAAACTCTTCGACCTCACTCAATAGACTTATGTTATTTGTATTCATATTTACTTACATAGTATCGTGATTTAATTTATTCTTGTGGGTATTGTAAGAGGTAAATAAGAGGAAGTCTATGTGTAATCAGAAAAGTCTAACAAGTAGCATTTAAGTAATACATTAACCAATTTTATCGTCAATCTAGTAGATTAAGAAATGGTTTAGATTAAAAATAAAATATAGATTCAGAACAACCAATGAAACCAAAAGACGCTATAATATAATGCATTGAATCCTAGCAAATTTGGTATTCAATTTTGAGAAGAATCTTGTACACAATTACTGAAATCATTCATATTAAATAAGAGTACAATGGAAGTAACAATATTACTATACAATATCTACACGATACTTGAGATAAAAGAGACAACGAATAGGATTACTGTCATCTAAACATGATAAATAAGTCTTACGTCATCTACTACTTGACAAGAACGCACCAATTATTATTTTAACACATAGATATCGGTACAAGAAGGCACCAAATACATATGCGCCACACAGATCTCATTTGATATGTGTGAGGGCTGTGATACTGCCCGGGTGCCCAAACCGAAGCAACTAACTCTATGAGTTTATGCAGTACATGTGGGTCAGTTTTTCATTCATAAAGATTAGAAGAAATTTAAGACAAACTTGTAATAATTGCAAACAAGTTTATTTCGTAACAGAGAACACTGAATTTCCTTTAAAATATTAAAAAACTATTATTTACAAAGGTATTTTCGAAACGAATACACACTGATAGTTAGTTAGTGAGATTAATTACTTAACTATTACAGTTGAATAATCAAATGCAGAAACCTATGTGTGTTCAACTTTAACGTACACATTTTCAGTGTGAGAGGCAAAATCAGATAAGACCGAGTAGGATAAAGGTTTTCATCATTAAATCACAACATTCAGAGGCTTGCATAAGCTAAACCACGAGTAATAAACATTGACTGATTTCTCTTATTATTTTACCAAACTATTTGAATAATGATTCATTGATGTAGTCCTTATCATCAATATTGTAAAACAGGAAGTAATTCTCGCAAAGAATTCAAATACTAAACGTCGATTAATATTGTTTGTATGTAGACTTACTAGTTGGTTGATACACGTCACAGACTACTCAGTAAATATGGATACAAAATAAATGAACAAAGCAATTGCTATGAATGAACAAGAAAAGTTGACGAAAAAACGTTAAGAGTATCGATGATCATCGTTTTCAAGATGAACACATCAATAGCTTATCTCTGAAAAGCTACATACAACTATCAATGTTCAAACAAACAAATATTTGGTAGTGACAAAAACATAGTATTAAGTATTGGACTTTTCTAACTATTAACTTATACATTCATTCAGTCAGCCAGTCAGCAACAACGTAGAACTTCGTACATGCGTACATCAGTTTGAGTTGCCACACCACATTAGCACAGAGATTCAGTTATCGATTCAAATCCCATAGTGGTAGAGGTAGTGAAAGTATAAGTAGTGATAGGGAACATTAGGGTTTGATGATGTTATTTAAGGAGTATAGTCCAGTGGGATAGATTTGGAAAGAAAACAAAAGACATGAAGTATTCAGAAGATTAGAGTTTGAGAGAGCACAGAGAGTGGATGCACCTGTGCCATTGCAAACAATTTTGAGCCATGTCATTCAAGATTTCTAGCCATCGGTTGCTATCATCTCGTGGATCGCGACCAGGTAGTTTACACCTACCAACATGACTCAGTCCACTTGTCAGTGACTTCATGGATTTGTGCCATGTTTTGGTCTGGCCGCCCCTAGCTTTCTTCCAACCTACTCCTATACGATAAAACACCGCACGTCAGGTGCAGTCGGTGGTTTGGCATACGTAACACATGCCCCAGCCATTTCACAGGATGAAGTTTTACTACTTCATCAATTTATTTGCCAACCTTATCTAGCACCCGTTTCCTAACCACTGTATTACTTACTCGATGGTCCCAGGATATATCGAGTACATTAGAAACTCTCTGTATGTATTTCTATTTAATTAATTAAACCATGATTTTCAAAAAAAGAAGTTAATACATAGTTAAATCAATAAAATACTTACAACAATGAAACATCGATCTATTAATTAAAAGACTTACATGAATACTTGGATGATAAGTAAGACGAGCATCATCTGTTAAAGTGACATACTTTTTAGTTTTCCATTCTTTACTTAATGGTTTACAAGTTCGTTTGTACAAAAATCCCTGAATTAAGTGTGTAAAATTAAAAAAAAAAAAAACATAACATTATAATTCATTGTGTAACAACATGTATTTAACAAAACATGAAGAAGAAAAAAGAGAACATATTCAATAAATTATTTATGAATAATAATAATAATAATAATAAAAGAATTAGCTGAGGTGAATAACTTCCATTTCATATAGTCAATCATCTATAATTACCTTGGCAACTCAGACTGATGCATATATATGTGCTTGATCCTATGTTGCAGCTGACTGACTGAGGTAAGTACATATTAATTAATGATTATAATAGAAAAAAAAATAGTCTCACTTTCAAACAAATCACAATCAAAGAGACAGAAGATAATTAAAACACTCAGGTTCCAATTATTTGGTCAAAGTTTTGAACTTCATTCTACTTCCTTCAGTTTTGAAAGTCATATAGTCTTACCAGTCTGTATACAAACAGTGATGTTTGAAGACAAATAAACAAACATATGCTTCATAAATGAGTTAAATTACATTTTAATCTAATGCACCAATCAGTCAGACAGTTCAAATATGATTCGGAGTGGTAAACACTATCATTCATGGTTGAAAACTAAGCATTAACCGATTTGATATGACCGCTGAGACATAAATAAATATAGAGAACTAAACACCGACTATTTATATAGAATTTAGACAAACTCAGTCAAATGATGAAAAGACATCAGGACAGTATTTCTGAATCACCAATCAAGAGCATATATGTATCACGATAATCGTCTGCAATAGTTGTTTTATATAACTAATATTCTAAACAATATTTGTTGACATGAGTAATTAAAGGAACAGTAAAACTGTACTTATTTCCCTAATATTCAGGGATAAATATAACAAGGTTGTATGAGTAGAAAGTAACTGTGATGCTTATTAAGAAATGGTCAATCAAAACATTAAATCTACTACAGGCATTTAAGGACATAATGAAATCAGACTGAGTTTTTAGAAAAACTTACAATTCCACATTCTAAGAAGCAGTAATTTAATTTCATTATTCCGCCATAAGGAATATAAAAACCTGGCATCGTCTCAACTTGCCACACAGAAAGAAGAAATTATTAAGATGAATATTGAGGTAGTAGTAGTAGTAGTATTTATAGAAAAAGATCAGGTGTGAAAAAAATATGACTTTAGAAGAGTAAATTTGTAAAACAAAAGATATATAAACTGATTCGGAGATTAGATGAAGGGTGAACAGATCTGCATGAGTAACAGAAAGTATTAAAAAGAACAATAGAAATTACAAACAATAGCAGTCATAATCACAGTAGTAATAGTAGTAGTATATAATGCTAATCAATCAAGTTAATAGCTATGACCTTTACGCATAGATGCCCCCAATAAAAAAAAAAGAAAGGAAGAAATAAAAGGTCATAAACCCCAACATTAATAATCATAAATTAATTAAGACAATCGAACATTGTAAAATTTAACTACACCCACATACATTTAAATGCATTTGTTTTACTAAGTTCGGTCAGCTACCACGTAGGACTAGGCACATATATGCATCGGTCCAAGTTACCATACCGCATTAGCACCGCAAGATGAACACCGGATTCATAGAAGTAGATAATTCAGTGGTGGTAATATATAAAGGAAAGATTGCATACAAGGAATTAGTTCATAGAAAGAAAGATATGAAGTGATCTTGATCTCTTAGTTTAATGGAAAACAGAGAGTGTATACACCTACGCCATTGTGATCGATTCTGATCCATGTTACCAAGAGTCTCCAACTATTGGTGTGGGCAACCGTGAATTGATAATCGCCCTCATACCTCTAACAGCACTCAAGACCACTGTATTCTTTACTAAGTTCACTGTTGTTTTTTTTAAGTTTTATTACACCTTATAAACATTAATGACTTTCGTTTGGCTTTCGCCAACTTACGTCACCTATCACGAAGGCGAGATATGTCTATCAATTAAGGGACGAGTATACTGCGCGGCAGTTCGTTCTGCTCTAGTTTACAGCTGCGAAACATGGCCTTTAAGAGTAGAAGATACTCGTAAGTTACTAGTGTTTGATCACAGATGCCTTAGAAATATTGCTGGTATCTGCTGGGATCATCGGGTAAGTAATAGTGAGGTTAAACGCAGGGTATTAGGGAATGTTAGTAAATCAGTTGATGAGGTTATGAATCTTCATCGACTGAGATGGTTAGGCCACGTGCTGCGTATGCCTGAACACCGATTACCACGACGCGCAATGCTGACTGGTGTTGGGGATGGTTGGAAGAAAGTTAGGGGCGGCCAAACCAAAACGTGGCATCAGTGCTTGAAGTCACTAACTTCTGGTCTGAACCATGTTGGTAGATGCAGACTACTTGGTTGTGGCAAGCGTCACTATCGTGATATGGCTCAGAATCGAACACAATGGCGTCGGTGTATCCACTCTCTGTCTTCCTTTAAGCTAAGAGATTAAAATCGTTTCATATCTTTTTTTCTACGAACTAATTCTTTATTCCTGTACTATCTCCTTATATGCAATCTTTCTTCTATAGATTACCACCACTATATTAACTACTTCTATGAATCCGGTGTTCATCTTGTTGTGCTAATGCGGTATGGTAACTTAGACCGATGCATATATGTGCCTGGTCCTACGTTTCAGCTGACTGACTGACTAGTTAGAAACATGTTTATAGAGAGTATTCAGATTATAACAATAAATATGTATACAAACAAAAGAAATATATTTGAGTTTCTTTATTATCTAATTACAAGTTTAAAACAAGAAAAAGGAGACATTAAACAAATCTCTTTTATCCTTCTTCAAAGCATAAAAAGAGCATCCTTATATGAATAATCACTTGTTATTGTTCTTCACCAAGTAACTAAGACAGTTGAATTGACCATGTGTCTTTATTCTAATCCTGACGTACTTTTACTAATAGTTATGTCTAACAGACAGTATGAATATAATATTAATATTTGGAAAGAATCAGTCTATTTAATGAGATGCATGGCACAGTAATACGCATAACACCTATGCATAAATGCCTTGATGTAGGTAAATTATATATATATATATATATATATATATATATATATATATATATATATATATATATATATATATATATATATATATATATAACAGTATACTAGTTTACTGTTTTGGAATGAAAACTGTGTTATATGAGTCGTAAAAATTGTAGAAGTTGGGATGTTTTACAAAAAAAAAAGTAATTAGATATCACGGTTGGAAAGTATTGTGACTCAATTATGAAATGTGAATGCCTGTGTAGATGGTTTTGAACCGCATTGTTTAATGTTAATGATAGGGATCTTAAAGGACTTCTGAAATTGAAGTAGATGTAGTGGAATTCGAGTAATAAACATTGTAGTTGATACACATGTGGTTTATTCATTTTTCTAGTGATTAGATGAAGTATTGTAAAAGTTCAAAGATAAATTGATAATCATGCTAGTAGGATGAATAGAACATGACAAGGTGTAATTTGATTAAATGGTTGATAGCTGAACTAAAATTGAAGCCTCCTCAATGACAGTGATCTACAGTTTTTTAGCAAGAGGAGATGGGTTAGATTGCATAGCTTAAAATAAGTCAGTGGTGTGGATATATTTATTTCATATTCACATAAATCTTACGTTTTATTGTTATCCCACATCAGTTTATTCTCTTCGGTTATTGTAGTATGAACTATGATCATTTATGCTGATGAGCAATTTCACCAGGACATGTAGTGTTCGTGACTACAGTTATTTATTTAAACACAAATATTGGTAAAAAAAAAGGGGCACCACAATAAACATGCACCATACAATAACGAAATGAGATTGCGAAGTTATAGCAGGACCTTCACTAGCTTCCATTCTGAGCCATGTTTGATAAGATCTCAAGCAACTGCTTTGCACTATCACTATGACCCGAAACAGAAAGTCGTGACGGACCAACAAATCTCAGTTCTGGGCAGTTTACTTTCATACTATCGCACAATGTCATAAAGTGAACACCTCTCCACTCTTCCCGACCAGTCCCAAAGTTGGCAAATAGTGGATGATGTGAAATTCACTAGGATGAAATTTGTAGTATATGCCCAAGCCACCGAAATTGATGTTTCGAGATGGTGACACCAGCTGAATTATCGTCGCTGTGCCAAAACACACGTCGCTGAACCTCTGCATTACTAACATGGTATTGCCGATGAAATCCTTCGTGAGCAACGATGATCAAACGAAGAGAGTCGCTTAACATTCTCAAATCATAAAGGTCAGGTTTTATAAGCACAGAGCAAAACTGCTTTCACTGACGCGTCGTAAATCTGACTTTTTACAGCCAGATTAACCTTACGAGTGCGTCAAAGATAGCCCAGACTGGAAAAATTCGATCTGGCTTTCTCTAGGCAATATACTTATAACTTAAGCAATGAATCATGTTACTATGCACAGGTAACAGTATGTACTAGATAGAAAAACTATTTTAATTAGAATAATTACTAAAGAAAATACTTACTTGCTTTAGTGGAATCGCACGTCCACTTCCGATTCCATTCAATTTCTTCTCTCGTTCACGCTCATCTTCATTACGTTTTTGCTGAAATTAAGAATATAAATTGTAATCATGAAATAAAATGTAGGACAGGACGAATCACTACGAAGATATAGTTCATTAAAATAACACACAATGCAACAAAGCAGTAAGTGACCACGATATCTAACAAATTTTTAGTTGATAAGTTAAAAAAGTACTACGCTTAACTTGAAAGTGCTTGTATTTTCCCGTTGTTGACATTAACGACTCCAATCCATCAATATTCACCAGGATATGTACTTCTTGAGCGGACTGGATTGACATAATCATTTAATCGCAAAGTATTATTAAAGTGAATAGTATTGGAGTGCAGTAAGTGTGCTTGATCCGATTTGGGACTCGTCACCTGTATGTGTCACCAGCTTTATGGTATCGAGGTTGAGACTCGAGACCAGAACCTTTCGTCTCAAACGACAATTTGTTATCCACTAAGCTACTGAATCCAAATAGTCACTAATCTATCCAACCACTATGAAGGTGTTAATAAGGATTTCTAATTTCACATTGATAATACTTTGGACTGAAAACGATCAGTATTTGCTAGTATATATATGTATCCTGAACTAACTGCCTACGTATAAAGTTATACTATACATTTTAATCAAGTTAATGACTATCTAGATTCAGTAAATAATGCATTACAGTTTGAAACTACGGGTATGGAGTTCAAATTTCAATATGAATATATCAACACTCAGTTGTTCATACATAACATCTTGTATTTCATCGTTAGTCATGTTTCAAATACACTAGAAGATATAAAATCTTTCACTAACCATAAAGTATTATTTTTCTATCTTTTTCTGAAAAGATTTTATATGATAAACTTGTCTAATAATAAATGATAGATAATACAACAGTATATTATAAATCTATAATAACAATTTTATTTATTTATTTATTTTAACACATAAGTATATGTACAGGGAGGCACCAAAATACATATGCGCCACACAAATCTCAATTGATTTGTGTGAGGGCTGTGATACTACACGGGTGCCCAAACCGAAGCAGGTGGTTGTCTTAGGGGGCCACACCCCGAGCATTCGACCTGAACGTCTGACCCACAAGGCAGTGGAGCATCGTGAGGAGATGCAGTCCCATGGTAGCCGGTGACCAACGATTGGTTCATACTCCATTTGTTCCCTGAGGATACTGGAGCTCATGTGCACCATTGGTTTGGGATCCGGTTAAAGCGCCTGACATTCGCTTTTCGTCCTCTCATTTTTGTAAACAATACCCCCACCACGAGAAGGCAGTGAGTAGGACTTCCCTGGCAGGGGCTATATACGCATGGCCATGTGAGGGCATTTCGAGAGCGAGAGCGGACTCTTCCCACTCTCGGCCGTACCAGGGCATTTGGGGGCAAATTAACTTATATATTCAGTGAAAACAATGTAAAATATTTTAAGTTTGATTGTAATTAAAAAAAGGTATATAATTCACTTGAAAAAATGAAATTAATTTTCTCACTAAGTGATTTCAGTATATACAATGTTTATAATAACTATAGAATTGCATCCTACTCAAATACTATGCTCCATTAAGGTAGTTAATTATTATCATTAATTTTGTTTATTTTTTATAGAATAGTATAGTTTAAAAATGGATACTTGAACTGTTACTTTTTAGTTATTGAATCTTATCTTATTTGGAATAGTTAAATTGATAAAATACTTTTGAAATTGTATTTTCTAAGTTGAGGATTTAATTACAAGCTTTCATCGATTTTCGAGACATCATCAATATACACTTTAGATGAAAGTGAACTATGACAATTACTTCATAAGTAATGAGCAGGTTTATCTGCTATTTCTAATAAAAGTTTATGCTAAGGATGCTATCCAGAAATAAAATACCCCCGAATGTCCTGGTACGGCTGAGAGTGGGAGAGTCCGCTCTCCCTCTCCAAATGCTCTTACATGAACACGCGTATATAGCCTCTGCCAGGGAAGTCCTACTCACTGCCTTCTCGTGCCACAGGTGTTGTTTACGAAAATGAAAGGACGAAATGCAAATGTCTGGCGCTATAACCGGATCCAAAACCAATGGTGCACATGGGCTCCAGTATCCTCAGGGAACAAATGGCGTATGAACCAATCGTTATTCACCGGCTACCATGGGACTGCACCTCCTTACAATGCTTCACTGCCTTGTGGGTCAGACATTCAGGTCAAAGGCTCGGGGTGTGGCCCCCTAAGAAAACCACCTGCTTCGGTTTGGGCACCCGGGCAGTATCGCAGCCCTTACACATTTCCAATTAGATCTGTGTGGCGCATATGTATTTGGTGCCTTCTTGTACCGATATCTATGTTTTAAAATAAAATAAAATATAACCAGAAAGAAAATCGAAAATTCAGAGAATTCAATGCTAATAAGCTTATCATTCTAAGTCATATGTTTCTGCCACATAGAAATGATAAGTGAATTTAACTGTGAATGTTCACTTCATTATTATAAACATCTGTAATGAATTCATTGGACTACAACTATGATAAATGTGAGTATTTAATTTTTACAAGTTAATAGAACATTGTGATATACTACCAATGAGTTCGCCAGTGGATAGCCATCCGTGATACCAAAAAAAATAGTCATTATCTTAATTAGTTTATTTCTAATTCGGCAAACGTAGATGATTTTCCTTAAATGTTTGGCGAGAACGAGTTAGACAAAACTAAAATGACACTTTAAGTACACTAAACTAAATAAAACTCAGCATGACTGAACACATGAATAAAGTACAACAGATAGATTGTAACATCATATAGTTTGTAAATGCAAATGAAAGGAAGAAAGTAATATGGGATAGTAATGTTCACCATATAAGGTTTTTTAAAAAAAAATATAGCATGCCAAAATACGTGAATGATTTTTTTTAACAACTTAGTATATACAAAACAGAAGAAAAATAATAAAATAACAGGTTTCTGACTATTTTAAAGTGCGGAGTATTTACTATACATCAGTAACCAAATAAAAGCCTTGTGAGTACACTTTATGATTGATTGTTTACTTAAAACGAACTAGCTACAATCTGATCTGATAATAACCTGTAATTCAGTGATTAAAAGTTGAATGCTTTATTCATTATGTAGTTGTGATCCATAAGTTAGGCACTGGCAAATAAGTAAATTAAACTGGCAGTTTTACTTAAGACACCAAAATGTGGTACGAAGAAGGTATTGAGATGTGTACAAAACTGATCAATTAAGTGATAAAACGGAATACAAAACAATAAACCTTATATTGCATATGTCGAGCCAGTATGTTCAAATAGTGACTTAGTGGTAAAGGCGTTCGACTTTTAACCACTACAACCCAGGTTTAAGTCCTACTTCCTATAATCACCGTTTGGAAAGCCAGGCAGTATCGCTAGCTCTCAAACATAAAGTACGGGTCAAAGACAAATACACGAATATGAACTTATTGAGATGCAATCAAGTTTCTAATCTAATGCCCAAGAGTCAGCTTACAATCGAATTTCATTAAACACGTTTTGATTAATCAAATGATTATATAATTATAAAGTTGTTGTATTAAAACAATCCTTTTTTCATTCGCCAGATAATCATGTAACAAAACATTAACCTCGGACAAACCACTATGCAAATTTTGCACTAAATGAAACAGTAAAAATCCGAAAAACAAAATAAAAACTAAGTATTCTTACAGAAAACATTAGAAAACCTATGAGAATTTCAGTGAAGTGTATGTAGATCCACAAATTGTTCCTTAAAAATAAACGTTGACTGAGTTCGAAGCTAGAAAGTTAAGTGTGCGCAAACTAAAAATGAAATGGTATTAGCCTAGATTATATTCAGTACCACAACTTTTTAGCTAGCTGCATAATTACGAACAACTAAGAATGGAAAATAGCAGAACACAGTGATATAAAATTTTACAAACACGTCCCTACTCTCTCTCTCGCTATCCATATATATATATATATATATATATATATATATATATATATATATATATGGCCACAAAAAGGCATAGAAAAACGAATTTAAATCTTGTGGAGTTTAAAATCAGCTTACAAATAAATTGGATTTTCGTCTATTCTTTCGTGAATGTGTTGGGGTACTGCTAGGAGTAAGAGATTCATTATTGTCAGCCTTACTTTCCTAGATTAGAAAGAGAAAAATATTCAGATTTCTTTGCTAAGAGGACAAAAAGGAACAAAACATTTAGGCAGCCAGATGTGCAACTTATCATAATACCGTGCAAAATAACAAAGCTAAATCTGTTTGGGCGACTTTAGAAAAGGCTATACATGATTAATCATCAATGAATCATGCTAGAAAAGAGGCAAGCAATTATTAAGTAGATGTGGGACAGCAGTTACTTTCGAGGTAATTTGATTACCTTCAACCAAATGATAAACGTGCAAGGAGGGGGCAAAGATGAGCATGCCTTTCTTGTTACAAGACTTACTGCTTCAACCCCTAATCCAATAGAAGATACACTACTAGCAGCAGCAAGCGTGCCTGATGGAAAGTTTGGTGAAACATTAAATGGAGAGTATCCGATAGCGGAAGCTGCAGGTGCAGAGAGAGGTTGTGGTGTAGAAACTCCATTATCAGAAGTACTAGGTGGATATGGAATTTTGCCGCTATATTCTGAATAGACATGAGGAGAAGGTGATTGAAATATGCTTTCAGCATACTCCGTTGGTACGTACTCTGGACAACGGAATAGAGGATGCTGATGCCTTTCGTCCAATAGAAATGGATGAGTAGCCCAATCTTCAGCTGGATCAGTAGTAGAAATATTAGCTCGAATAGGTTTGACATCTGCGAAGAAATTATCGCGCTCAGATGGTCGGAAATCCAATGTTAAGGAGTGTTTTGCAATGCTAAGCAGATTAGGTTTGGTAGGATGCAAAAGAGTTTGGTGTAAACCAGAATCCTAAGAGATAGTAGAACAGAGTATTTGTGATATGGTCACAGAAGCTTATCCTAAAGTTTTTAAACAAAGTATTAAGTATCCTAACAATTAATATAAAACTTGTTAGGAATTGCTAAATTTGAATTCAAACTTCACGTAGGGCTGTGTGATGTAAACTTCTTACACAAACCGGTAACCAGTGAGTTAGAAATATAAAAAGTAGTGATCCGGAGCGATATATTGGTTTAAAAACAAGACAATAAAGTTCTTAGTATAACCAAGTGTACTATAGTTACAATTTTATAATAAACAACTTACATTACAAAGATATAAAATACTACTTCAATAAAACTTAGTAAAAAGGGTACCGAAATGCAAATAAAGCTAAAATAAGTTGGTGATTCTGAAGGGGAAAATAAATGTTAATGGAACGTTGAACACAAATTTAAACTACACCAAGAGTTTGCGAGTTATGTGATTACTGACACATTACTGGACTGTAAAACATCATTAATGTTTATAGCTATGGTTGAGAAGTTTCTGCTACTGAACACTAACAAGTGTATCATCAATCCAATGTTCAACGCCCAGGTGAGAAGAGATTACAAATATGTGATAGTAGTTTGGACATCACGTTCTGTTCATAATGTACGTGGGTTGGTAAGATTCATGGCCTTTTCATAATTTATTTGTGTACAAATAAGTGTACCGCAAGACTGTTGTACAGAAAAATAATTGCAAAATGTTACAACTCAAGAACTTTCTCGACAGAATGTTTGGTATAAAAAACAATTTAGTTATTACTTCGTTGAAATCAAGTTCGAATCCGGGATTGCTGTGAGTATCAGGACGACGATTCGAAGGATTATTGGGGAACACTGGTCGTTCTTTCCTATCGATACCACTTGTAACTGAGTTAGTTACATTACAGTTAACCCCCTGGAATTAAAACAAAGAAACTAGACCTGATAACCGCGGTAAAATGTACACTTTGGATTGGTGCTGTCATATTGATTTTAGTGAATGATAAGCAATTAATTCAGTGACTAAGAAGAAAGAACAGACTAAAGGGTTCAGTTGTTACTAATGAAAATAAAAATATGACTAAGCTACTGAGCAGAGGAAAGTTGAATCTAATAGAAGCAACAAAAACTTATAACAATTTTTGCATACAATCCACTTTTCTAGGCATAAAATAACTACATACTGTTGAAATAGAATGTTCATAGTTTTTCGGGTTTTTTTTCTAGTTTTGTTCATAAAAATTAGTAATAACAATAAACTTAATTATCGCTAGAAGCTCTGTATACAAAACTTATGCACCAGCAAGAAAGTCAACATCCTAAAAACAAGAAGAATCGCCAACAATAATAGGCAATCAATGATGAAATCTACACTTGAACTATTTTTGCAAATTATTGTGACAAAAGTAACATCTTAGTAGAATTTCTAAAATTTATATAACCCACTAAAAGAACACTTATGACAGTCAACATAGTAACTTGGCTACACGATAGATATTTCTTACACAGTTTTTTTAATATATGATACCGTCTACTAATAAATATATCTCAACAATATCAACCACTGAACAATCATAGCATATGAACAGATGATTTTTAAGGAGTATTTGTCGTTCTCTTAATCATAAATAAGGGTGTAAATTTCCACACTTTATATCCATAGACTTACAACACGAAAAATGAAGTTGAAGTAATGATGTGGTGTGTGCTACTTATGTAGACATAAGTAGTATATGACGTGAGCACTGAACAGAATGTCTGGCGGCAGAGAGATAACAAGATCGAACAATAAAGAATGAAGACAGAAGGCAATTTGTATGAAAATGCAAGAACAAGGGGATTCTGAGTGATTTGAGATAATTGATGAACAATTTACAAATTACCGATTCAATATATGGTCGTTTGATTTTACTAACTAGTTCTGTAAATTGTTGTTAAATACATTGGATTGTCCCCACTGGTGTTTTATTTCACTACAATGATACCGGTAGAACACTACACAAGAGCGATGTCTAGAAAAAAATGACTGAAATCCAAGTACAAAATGCTACAATAATACACTAAAAATTTAGTGTAAGCGAATGAATGACAACTTGTACCAGTATGATTAACCTGATACAATGTTATCTAAGGGATTATTATACTTAAATTCTTATTACTATGAAAAGTTAAATGAAATCGTTATCCGTAAACTCTGAGATAAATAAGCAACAGTGCACGTAAATGAGGACAAAAGAACATTTATTAGATTCACCTAAAGACTAAATGCTAAACAGCACAACAATAAAATTAAGCAGTAAAATTTTATAAATATGATACAACTGATGAATGAGTCACGTGGGAGTTTACAGTACCATTCGACGAATGAGGGGGAAGATTAAACTGAATTAAGAGACACTATATTGTTATTATCTGGGTAATGTCATGATACGAATTATCGCAGAACAAAGTACAACTGTAGGTTCGAAAAATAAGTTCTAACGTTAACCATTAACATCTCGTCATTCCAAACCAATGGTGCACATGGGCTCCAGTATCCTCAGGGAACAAATGGCGTATGGACCAATCGTTGGTCACCGGCTACCATGGGACGGAATCTCCTCACGATGCTCTACTGACTTGTGGGTTAGACCTTTGGGTCAAAGGCTTGGGGTGTGGCCCTCTAAGAAAACCACCTGCTTGAGTCTGGGCACCCGGGCAGTGTCACAGCCCACACACAAATAAAATGAAAATTTGTGTGGCGCATATATATTTGGTGTACTATTGTACCAATATTCATGTGTTGAAATAAAAATAAAAAATAAGCTATCATGTTGTATGGGTAAACGGGAAAACATTCCTCTGCAGTTACGACAAACGACATTTTACCTTTTCACGCTATCTTGATATTAAATGATGCCTTTTTATAGTTACATTTGAAGCTGACTTTTGCCTCTGACCTTTAGAAAGTAGTAACTTAAAACCGATGGAGACAATCAACAATTGTTTTAAACTATAATTTGAAAAGTAATATATATTTAGAACCTATTCATCTTCAAGAAATGAACTGGTGGAAAAAAGTTAAACTTTAAATGACTATATTGAAACAATCTGTTAGTGTGACTCCGTAAGCACAGATTTATTTACTTATCTTTGAGCCAAATTTTTGTGAGGGCTGGTGATATTATCGAACTCCTGAAACTAACAAACTTATCTTGGTTTAAGCCACAATAAAGTGGTTAAATGTCCAGTAACAACTTTTAAGCCAGTTTTACGTCAAATCTAGTTAACTAAATGTTGATGAATATAGTTGCACCTAGTTTGGTTTTATTTAACGATGCTACTTTGGAGGTCAGAAAGTTATTTTCATATCTGCTGCCAAATAGAAATACAGCCCTATGTTGTATGCTTTACAAATTAAATTCTCATATTGCTACTCGTTATTTCCATAATTTATTCTGTTGTATTTTGAAAGACAATTACTTACATTTATGTACTGTGACTGTAAGTTACTCCTGTTAATCCAAATACAAAAGTGTGATAAATAATGAATCAAGTCGACTACCTTAACACTTGTACTCCGAAGTAAATATCAGCATTAAAGTACTAATCGTTTAAAACTGTCACCTTGACAACACGAATTAACAAAATAACCAAGACATGTCATTCTAATACTGCTTTTTAACGTGAATATAGCTTGATCAGTTTTATTTGGCAGAAACCTATCCGTAAATAAAAATTCTAATAACATTTTTCTAAATGAGTGACCTATAATACCAAAAAATAGTCTTCATTTAAAGTTTTCTCCAGTTCAACTCCGATGTGACTATTATCGAAGACTGCGTGAACCAATCTAAGTGACAATGTACATATAAATCTATTACCATAAAAAGTCCCTCCTGAGGCTACTGCCTGTCCCAAGCCCGGATAAAGAAGGAGGGTTGGGCATGGGGTTAGCGACCCCATCCAGTAGAAAACTAACTCGTTAAAAAACGCTAACCAGAAAATAAAGTTATTCAAAACGCTAACCACAAAAAGCACATGTAAAAGTAACAAGTTTTTTTCTATCTTTCGTTGCTAAACATCCTGACTGTAGTTTATAAAATACCCTGAGATACATGAACGGCTGTATATCAGTAAATGTTGAGTGCGTTAATAAATTTAACATATGAATGTGTAAGGACTTTCGTCTAAATTTGAACTAGTTTCACAGTATTTGTGCGCCGAGTGTGATTACAAATTAGATACAAGGAATATCAATCAAAAACCTTAGAAAACCAAAATATACTAGATTTTGATATACTTACGGGGTTTTTCATCAGGAGAGGACCCTCGCGAGCATTCACTACATTCGAAAACAGAGACTGTTGTGATTGACTTATTCCAACAATTGGTACACATTCAACAGGACTATTAGCACATGCTCTCTGTTGTGAATTCGATGAAATCTGGGGTGTGATAGGTCTTGGGACAGGTGAGTTACCAGAGGTACGTAACTGAAGTATTTTTAGACATGCTGTGGGAGAAATGAGTATGAATTTCAATTACCATCCTGAAAAACACGTTCAACGTTTAGGCCATAAGCAGCACATGTCTCATAATACGCACAACGCTTTAGATCATTGGCAAGTTTTCGAGCACGAGCATCATCTATCACACGCACATATGGCTCACAATTCGAATCTATGAAGGTGAGAACAATGAATTACTGATACCTTGAGTCCCAACAAGAATTATGGGTAAACTAGCGGTACTCCTGTAAGTTGAAAGACGAGCATAGTAGTCATAGACTACTTGGTAACTTTCTATGTTTTCAAGGCTAAACACAAATATAACTCCATCGACCCATTGACTAAACTGAAGATCGGGCGGACCGCCTTCATCACGAATTAAAAGCAGGTGACTCTGGTTGTCCAAAGATAGCTCTTTTTTAAATCTTCCACCTTCTGGCGACTCATCGTGAACATACGCTCCTGTGAGATAACGATGTACTAAGGCAGACTTCCCACTTTGAACAGAACCAAGAAGCCCCTTACATACCATGCAATAAGAGGAAATATACTTACCAGTTTTATACCTGGAACACCATTACTTAGTGTCCACTCCTGACTATTGACGAATGCGTCTACGAGTCGAAAAGTAAGATTGACAAATGATGCAGTACCTTCAATTGACACAACTAACTGACGCAATGATTCCGCTAAGTTTTTATCCTCAACTGCGTCAATAAGGTCGTATATAGCATAGATATTTGGATGAACACTTTCGAATCGTATAATCTCTTGTCTGATAGCATTCGATATATCATTCAGAGAAGACTGTGAGCTCATGATGGTAAACCCTCCACCATTAGACAGTTCATAAATCTGGCGGTACTAAAAGTTGCTTTCCGAGGTCAAAGCATCTGACCGTTCAAATTCCAAATCATGTCCTTTACAATTTGTGAGTGTTACATTCATTCCGTCAAATAGTAGTGCCTTCACAAATTTAACTTTTGCGTATAGATATTTCTTCAGTTTGTCAACCTGCTGACGATGATGGTCAGATAGACAGCTATCCTTGATGGCAAAGGGGAGGTTTAAGTCATATTCCTTGAGTTCTCAAAAGCTTTTGTTAGGATCAATAATATGTGTCTTGTCAATAAGCTCAAGCGATTAGACAGGCAGTCACAAATCAATTGATTGGCTTATTTCATACATATATATAGTCGACTTTATAAGATTGGGCGGATATACATAATTGTACCGCCTTACAATTCATGGTGTCTTTCTGATCTAAAGAAAACGCAGTTTTTTAAGCCTAAGTAATAATCAGACATGATTTTCATGTACTATGTATCTGCAATGACTTATTTTTCCGTAGTTGATGTACATACAACATATCCCATGTTCAATTTGCCGTGATGTGATTTCGTAATACATAAGATCTTACGCACGAATCACATCATCGTTCACTCTAAGTTGCTCTAACAACAAAGTCAGGGTATGAGGTCTTATAAGAACTTTCGAAGAAAGAATATGATCGTGCTAGCTCTTCTTATTCTAACTTCGACTTCTCATACACAATTTGAACCCATTCCATCTTGTTCTACAACACAACTCGTTGTCCTTTATTCTCTCATCTCAATGCTCTAACCACATTTCACTCTAGCAACAGTAGCTAGTATGAATTTTATGGACTAATATATAATATCATTGTCTATTCTATTACAAATCGTTAAGCATTGTTTGGGGTTTATATTCAAACGCATGGCTGCTCTTCTGTTTCTCGCTTTTTCGGAATCAAGCCCTCGATACATAGTTATGGAGCTGCTGAGGCCTGAAACGAACTTAACGTACGCGTTTTTAAAAGTCAGAGCTTATAACAAGCGCACTTTGTAACAACAATAAACGCCTCAGGCAGTTATATCTCATAAATACTTGTCAGGATCGGAATTTAAACACAATTATGCTGGGTGTGGACCTAATGTCCAACGTGGACACGGTGACTATTTCGAGATAGATTATAAAAATAGCACTTGCAGTGCAATACTAAAATACATATCTAGTCATTAACTCCCTGAGATATCTGCACGAATGTACTATCTTTTATTTTTATTAATTTCATTTACTTAACAATCTTCATTGGGAGCATACTACATATATACTAATGTTGTGGACTGTATATCATGCCTGTAAGAATGATATGTACCTGCTTCGGCAGAAGTATATTATATTTTGAGCAGAGAAAGTCGATGTACAAAGTGATTAAGCAAGTGAAGAAGAGCATTAGAGCCGATAATCAGAATTAAGTAGAAAAAATGGCAACGATAGAGGAAAAGCTATCGGAGAAGGAAATATTAAACAACTATATAACACACCGAAGAAACTGATAGGAAAATATAGTAAACCTAATAGACCGGTCAATCACAAATGGGGTAAACCAATCACTGAGATTCAAGAACAGAGGAACAGGTCGGTAGGACAGTTCGAGGAACTGTTGAGTAGGTCAGCTTCAATGGATCCACTGAATATCGGAGCACCACAAACAGACCTTCCCATAGATGTCACTCCACCAAAGATTGAACAAACCAATATGGCCATCTTACAAAGCAGGTGTGGGAAAGCAGAAGGACCTGGCAACATACCAAGTTAAGCACTGAGGTCTGACATATTGGTAACTGCAAAGACGCTCTACGTTCTACAACCTGTGATGTGTGCTATTTATGTTGACAGATTTACGTATTATGTGACACCATATGGAAGTGGAATGCCTGCTAGCAGAATACCAATGAGATTTAATTGCAGCAAACAGAAATGCAGAAAAAAAGAAATCGTAACAATAACAGAATTGAAGGAATCGTCTGTTATGACCTTGGCTTGTCTACCCACTTTTGGTGCCGAGGATACTTGTCTAATCTAGATTTCGACCTTGATGCGATAGGCTGATCAGCTTAACCTTGAGACTAGTACGCGTGAGTTCGAGATGGGGTAGAGAGTAGAAAACTATTCTGTCACCTGATTGGTGGGCAAACACACGAATGACAGAAGACAAGACAACTGGAACACTACTCGATCTATTCCTGATTTCTCTGACTTCCTGATTTCACTGAATTCACTGAATTCAGATTAGTGTAAGAAGGTACATGCATATACAAGTGAACAACCTGACCTCAACGTACAATAATTAGGAAAAATACAATTATGTCCAAAGCTGGGGATTAGAGTAGAAAATAGGGTGCAAAATAATATGTTTAAATTACAATAGCTTCGGAATAGAAAAGGACATGGTGGTGAATGATACATCGAACGAAATCTTATGTTCTGTAGAATAGATTAGGGACAAAAATAAATGTTAGTGTTTTAAAAGCTTTGAATAAAATTAAATAACCTCCCGAAAAATAGCCTTCGTAGTTTGTCAGGGCTTCTTGTTTCCCGGTTCACATCATCGTCAAGCATGTAAAGGACAGCTGAAAGAGGTGCAAATAACGTATTTAATGTATGGTTAACATATCTTACACAGGCACTCTGTGATTGTGGATTAAACAATGACCCGTTTATTCGTGCCGGGCTCTTCGTTCACTAGAGAGCTGTATCTCCTAACTCATATATACTAATAAATGCAGGTCAGCACAACCATTGTAGCAGTATCCTCAGCATCCGTAGGCCTCGACATACAAGAGTGAAAACTTAAGATCTGATAGGTCTTCTACTTGAACGCTAAATTCCGTCTCGTATGCGCTTCTAGTAAACCCGGGCTAAATCTACACAGCGACCTGAACACGATAGAAAAAGCGCGAAGTATAGAAGAAAGGCTTCACTCCTAAATTCCCTTTATGTAGAGAAAATCTAGAGTATTTAAAGGATTTTAGACGGATTTGTGACTCCCGAAAATTCTGGAACGCCACAAAAAATAGTAGCCGTATAGGCTTCATCCGATTAGAAATGTGACTTTTCATTTTCTAGACGTTTCTGATTAAACCTTTGTTGAATGCCGATTGAATATGATGTTTTTCAGAGTTTTTAAAGCCTCTTTTGGCTTTCTTCGAGAAATTTTCCGGATATCTTGACACCTCCCTCTTATTTTCAAAAGTTCAGAGTTAAGATCCTGAATTTAAATTTCGCGAATTTATTCACTCCCACGAATCAACGTTAAATCTTCATATTTCAAGTTAAAAATAATGTTGCTTTATTCAAAAAGTACATACTTCATTGACTGGAGAATCAACTAAAAGTGACTAAATGGTAGGGATCAGGGTTTCATTCTTTTGAAACATTTTCATAAAATCCATTGAAAATATCTTTGGTCGATATTGGATCACTCGGACAGTCAGCATCTGTCAAAACTTTGTTAGAATTTGATTCGTTCGATATATATATTTCTCGTTTATTAAGAAATTCGATCATAAACATGTGAGTCATAAAAATAAATCATATCTGACTAAACAAATAGAGAATATTGATGAGTTTATTCATCAGAAACTTTTGTCGCAAAAGGAAGCGTACCATTTTATTCAGAAAAAGACTTCTAAGGTAGGCAGAACATACTATACGGAAATCATCAAACTGCATCACAAAACAAGCACTAACTTGGAATTCTGATGGTAAACGAAAAAGAGGGCAATAGAACACACTGCCTTGAGACTTGGAAGCCGATATGAAAAGGATAAATAGCAGCTGGAAGAAACTATAAGGATTTCTCAGGACATATTTCGATGGCAAATGCTGGTGAGCAGATTATACTCCTCTGCAGAGGGTAACTGTAGTAAGTGACCAAGTGATCTTTAGTTCTGTATTTAACGAATTCGGCGACTGCATTTTTTATCTCCGAGAATGTGCAGTTTTAGAGGCCTATTAGGGAAAATTTATGTGATTTGTAGCTGATGTGCGCGGACGAACTCCCTAAGGAAAACACTCAATTACTCGTTTACACATACGTGCTCGAATATTGGGGGTTTAAGAAACAGACCTTGACAAGTAACATTGAATTTTCTAAATATTTTTTACCATAATGTGGTTTAATTATGAGAATCACATATAGATGTAAAATGATTACTCACTTTCAGTGATATTGATGTTTGTCAACCTTTTTTTCTTATTGGTAGTACTGTTAACCTAAGAAATATATATGTACTAGTATCATTAATTGGGTGGCCATTACTCCGTGGTAAGACAAAAGAAGCAATCAAGAAGTATTACAAAGTTTTCTCATGGTAATAATCATTAGGGAATAAGTTATCTGGCGATAATATTGTAACTTGACGCGGAAATTCGCTGTTATAGTTGTTATTTAGATCTTCACAGTTGTTTCTATGAGGGCTTTTCGTTATCCTAATTCGAGTGATACTTTTCTGCATAGCGTGGACTGATAGTAAAAGAACTAAGACAAGAACCCTGAAAGAAGCACTTTGGAGCTACAGGAAGTTCGATTTTTTAAAATGTACTTTTACGATCAGGGACATTTTTGCCAAATGCGAATTCAATTTCCTACGTCTGCAAAATTATTATCCGTGACGACATTTAAAGTACTTATATACTTTATAGTCCCTCTAAATAATAATTTCGAATACCTGATGTGAAATTAGGGGAATGAGGTGGCTGAAACTTAGAGTTTATGGATTAATTACAATTGTTTCTCCGAAAGAATTGCTCTATATCCATAAAAATTATACATTTAGATAATATTCAAAACACCACTACATTAAACTTCAGAAGAGCAGTCTTAAAACGGAAAACAGTAGGGCGATATATGGATAAGTTCACTGGGAATACTTAGGTTTTAGATGCTTACTGGCACTTCTGGTAGATCTGGCTAAACTTCAAAGTTCAGTGGACAACGACGGACTCATATTTAAAACTTCAAAGTGTACAGTAATCTGTGTGAAACATCTTGCTGACAACGCATACAACTTAGGTAATTCCGACTAGAATTATCCCATGTTGATGAGTACCTAGGAGTTTGACCAGCCTATGATCTGAAGTCTTGCGCTAAATGAGACAAAAATGTCTGTCGATTAAACCTTGCGTTAGTGACGTCGAAGCTCAATTTTGATCGGTTCACGGTATAGCTTTCTACCTGACCAATTCAAGAACTCAAGTTCAAGACTTTTGAAGAGCGCTTCAAATCACTGAACCTTTACTCATTGGAGTACAGAAGTCTTAGGGGTGACCTTCTAATGATCCACAGCATCCTTAGTATTTCTGAATATCCTCTTGAATACCTATTGAAAATCAGTACCAGAATACAACACTTATGGTTAATACCCAGAAATGGGAAATGCATCATAGCATAACGGACCTTATGCACACCTCCTACTCCTAAAGACTAGTCGAATTCTGGGGTTTGCTGCCAGTCGAACCCGCCCAATTGAATTCTCAGGAGTCTGTTAATAGAAAATGTGACATATTCGTGCGGACTAAGGACAATGCTGAAGCATTATTTGCTATTATGTTTTCTCTTTAATTGTTAGATACACCTAGGTACTTGTCTGTAAACAACGGTGATCTAATGCTACAAGATGCGGCAGATTTTTAGGCTAAAGCTTCTTTTTTTCCTTTAATAGCCAATTCATTCCTTTGATCCTTACTTTTGTTTGAGTTAATCGATTGTTACCTTGAGGTGTTGCGCTTTTCAATTTATTCGATTAGATACTGTGTAACTCATTCGTAACTTCGAAACACAATTTTTTTAGTTTCGATTGTCAAATTTTCTTGACCTCACGCTTTAAATACTGTTTTTCCGTCATGAACTGCTTTTATTATTCAGTGTAGGTGTATTTTGTGTGCCCACTGATTCATCGACTACTCTTCTCATGTTCTTTTCTTTTCCAGATTGTCCCACATACTGCTTAATATACACCCTCAACACTCAAGCTAACTTCAAGCTAGACGAAACCTAGCAAAGACTGATCATCACAACCGATAGCGGCAGGTAAGTGTTCTATCTAAAGTCATATGTAGAACAATACAATAATTCGTAAATTGTAAAGTGTATTGTTTCAGAAGGTTGACATTGCGATATGCAGCTTTAGCCGTTTATGTTTTCTTGGAAGAAGTGTCAGAACCTTTTTAAAAAGGTTTAAAAAGACGAATCCGTCTTTTTACGTGTGTTAAATTATGAATTTATACGAGACTGCAATTAATAGTTCCCTCGTTAATAAATAAGTGTATCTACACTCTTACAGAATTATTTGTCATTTTTTTAACATTGAATCAAGTTATTCAGTCGTCTTGGAGACAAACACCCTGATTATTATCATTACTTTATGCTCCTATTAAGCACTCAATTCATAATTCGAAACTACTTTGATACTCACTTGTGAAATTATTATTTTATCACGCAATTCTATGACCTAGTCTTATATTGGTACCCTGAAATATATACATGTGTGTGTCTATATACTATCGCAGATTTATTATGATAATAGTATTATGGTAATATTAATTCAGTCAGTTTGCTTTTTGTTAAATAGAACGTCATCATTTAATAATTTAAATACAAACATAATTTAGGACCACTTCAGCATATAGTGATCTATTAACCTCCTCTCTGAACAAGGTTGCTGAAAAGTATGTGAACTTGGTTAATTGTTTTCATGGTTGTTATTCTTGACAATGGAACATTAATGTAAATAAATGATTCTAATTTCAAAAACACTTTCTTATTTATTCCTTATTGAGTGACACAGGATCTAAAAAGGCAGTTCAGAATAAAAAGGACCTCATTGTGACGTTTAAATTAGGTAACTTTGGACCTCAGTCTAAAATAGGTACCTTGTTGCAATAACATTGGCACTAAAATCTCCCACATTTTTGACCAAATAATAGAATTTTTGTGACAAAGCTAGTGGGGCAGGACATTATAGGTTGTGTTGAGTAAAAAGTTTGTTTTTTAATGCTTTCTCAGTCTTTTTTGGTTGAGCCACATTCTATCCACCTTCAACGTCTTTTCCCAATTTCATCTTCAGCTGAAAGTTGCTTTGATCCCTCCTACAGTAGGTTGTTGCTGACGGTATCTGGTCAACGGGCATTTAGTATCTCGAGTAAACAAATGTTTGCAAATACTTGTGCCTTTTTGATTATGATTGTAGTAGTTCTGTACGTTTCAGCTCTGTACAGTAGGATTTTTTTGATGTTCGTATTAAAGATTCCGAGTTTGATATTGGTTGACAGTTGTTTAGAGTTCCTTATGTTCTTAAACTGTAGGAGTAAGGTCTTTGCTTTGCCAACCCTTGCTTTTACGTCGGCATCCGATCCTCCTCGTGCATAGATGATGCCGCTACCAGGGTAAGTGAAAGTTTACACGTTTTCCAGGGTTTCTTCGTCAAGTGCGATTGTGTTGTTCCGTGTTTCACTTCAAGATCTTGGTTTTTTCTTGTGTATGTTGAGGTCTACTGATGGAGAGAATGCTACTACACTGGTTGTCTTGACTCACATTTGTTGGCGTGTTTGGGATAGAAGGGCTAATTCATGTGCAATATCAAAATCGTCTAGTTGAATCCAATCTGTCAGTTGTATTCCGTGGTTCCTGTCAGATATTGAAGTCTTCATAATCTAGTCAACTACTCAAATAAAGAGAAACTTTGAGAGCAAGAAATCTTGTGTGGCACCTGTTTTCACTTGGAATGCGTCTGTCAACTGCTCTCGATGTATAACCAAAGGTGTAGTCCCGTCGTATGAATTTCGGATGATGCTGACGATTTTCTCAAGTATACCGTAGTGTCCAACAAGGTTCCATGAGGTTCTCCTACTAACACACTCAAATGCCGTTTTTTAGTCAAGAAAGTTAATTGTTATGTGTGACGAACTAAAATCTGCTTTTAATGAATAAATCAGTCAGTCAGTCAGTAACAACGTGGAACTTCGTACGTACGTACATCAGTTCGAGTTGCCATACCACATTAGCACAGAGATTCAGTTATCGATTCAAATCCCATAGTGGTAGAGGTACTGAAAGTATAAGTAGAGATAGGGGACATGAAGGTTTGATGATGTTATTAAAGGAGTGAGACTATATTATATGGACAATCCAATCAGATGCAAGATGACAGCTTTCAGATTTCGGGTGCGCAATTCACTCATTTGTTTGGCTAAATAAAGTTTTGGCATTATAGCTGATGTCAGTTCATGATGAAAACCCTTAAACAAAATTTTTAAATTTAACCATCAACTGAAAATAAGAATTCTAATTCTTCACACTGGTTTATAATTCTTATTTGATCTTAGTTATTAGGTGTACACTCTTAAGGTCACTTGAGCGTTGCTCACCGGTCGTTCGTAAATTATAGTCTCATCAAAATTTGAACTTGCTTTTAACAAATCTATTACCAGCCTAGGAGTAACTTTTATTCAGCCTGAAATTCTATCAAGCATTTTCAAATATCTAATTTGTCTAAATATGATCAACTACTTAATAATTAATGAGAAAATATATAATGTAGAAAGATGACCATTTTATAAAACAGAATGTATAGAAATCTAATTTATTTAAAATGTAACTAGGGAAAACGTAATTTAATTTATTCCCATTATTCAGATAAACCAATGAAATAGTATTGTTGTCAGAAAATCTTATGTATTTTTTTTTGTCAGTTCAAAATATCTTAATAATAATGGTAGTAAATCTTGCTTAATAAACATTAAAGTTAAAATTAGTTAATCATCATTAGATACACTGAATACTTTTATAAATAAACTGTTTTAATATTTTAAAGTTACAAGAGTGAAGACATTTAAATCCACATAACATATTCAATGTTTAATTATATCATTAACAGTGTTATGAACTTGTATTACTATGTGCATTTTTTTATCAGATTACTTTACTATGAAATATATAGATGATCTTCTAGAATGATTTTATATTAGAAATAGTAAACATTTTCTAAATATAAATTAAAATTTATCTATAGTTCAGTATTTTGTTTTGTTAACCCTTATGTTTTAAACTAATTCATAATATCTTACAAGAGATAATTGAACAGGAACTATTTTCAAGTGTAAAGAACTTTATGAACTTTTTAATTAGTTCCTACCACAAACTGCCACCGTTAGAAAAGGTCAAAGTATAATTTTAAAATATACCTTACCTTAATTAGAAATTTCCGAAAGCTTCATACTTATAATCCCACATGATGTTAAGTTAACAATGCTTGAGTTTTGAAATCTTCATACTATTTGGCTTTGTACTTCTTAGTGATTCTCCTATTAAGGCACGTTAATGGTGAAAATTACTTTTGGAATCTTATATCACTTTTTTTTTAAAAGTAGAATTATATTTTGAGCTCATATGCACTCATACATTAACTTCTGAACAAAAAATATACTTAAGACTTATACTTCTGTTTTATGGGATTGGGTTACTTTGTATAGTTTCCTAAAGACAGTTCATACAAATGACTGTAACAATGTTTTGTAACGAAGGCCAGAACAACAAGATTTGTAGAGTAGAACAAACCTATCTCTTCTTTAACTTGTCATAACAAGATTACAAATGCTGCATAGTTAATAAATGTGAAATAATTGTTTGAGACTTGAAAAAACATCATCAGAAAAGGAAGAAGATACAGGGTATAACAGTAAACATAAGACCTAGGCTTAATTCATACCCATTTGTTGAAAAATAATCATCAAAAGTTCACTTTTAATAAACAAATAGTTATTGTAAATAATCGTTGACATTAATATATCATAAGCAAATACGATTGTAATTTAAAATTGTATACAATGTTCTTTACAACCATATATAGTGTGCTACAAACGAGTTTCACATATTAAGTTTGTTTACAGATAAATATGCTTCTACATGACACGGCAAATTTTACCATTGAGTCATATGTTCTACTTGATCGAGGATCAGAAGAATACAACTGTTAGATTAGCTAAAAAAAAACCTAGGACACAAGTAATATATCTGGTAAACATAATCTTATTCAGTTGGTCTACTATCAAAGACCTGTAATATGCATTACAAGTTAATGTCGATGTAAAAGTATGATTTCTTCCGAAGTGGAAGCCAGTAAAAAATAGCTCAACATTGGTTGAGTTAAAATATTCTTTCAGGCTAAACGGTTAAGCAGTGGTCAATTACAATCTCCTTGATAAATGTTAATCCATACCCATTGGGGAGAACCGACTAGAAATTGTTTGTAAATCTAAATGTATGTTTTTGCCACTTACGATTTTCGAGATCTTGAAAATAGTGAAATTCAATATTGATTCATTTCTTGTTCACTAATGGATTTCTGTGTTATCCTAATGTGTGATTAATTGAACTGCTGTGGTTTATATGAGTTTCTGCAATGTTTTGTTTGTCAGTATTCTAACTTCTCTTCCGTTCACAGTCAATAATGTCTTTAAATATTTCATTTACTTCGCTTAATACATGTAGCCAATTTAATTATTTTAGTAGGTCTCTTTTGTTCAAACTAGTGGAAATTCTTGCTTATCAGATGATTGAAACATCAAATATCACACGTAAAACAGTTACAGAATTTGGTTGTATAAAGAATGACAGTAAAATTGACCGGTACATAAATGATCATTCTTTACGTTTATCAGACGCTCAAAAATGGCTTTTAAAGGTAATAATAATCATCATCATGATCATAACTATCACTAAATGATTTTTAGAAAACAAAAGATGATCCCAAAGCATATTACTTAATATCAAGTCTTGAAATGCAACTTTTATCGAATATGTGCTATGCAATAAATGCCAGAAAAACAATTGATATTGGTAAGTACTTATTTATATCTAATTATACGTATATATCTTGAATAGTTTCATAGTGTGTACTCATTTTATCTGATGGTAGCTTTTACATTATTTTTGACAAATGGATATCCTATCTATTCTCGAAAAACATTTCTTAGAAAATCTCTTTATTGCATGGTTACTGTGAGTCGACAAGTGATTCATTGTTTTTAAGCGTACTATGTATGCGTATTTTTTGTATACAGTGATTTAAAGGTAGAAAGCTTGTCGGGAAGAATTAAGACCAAGTATGATAGAACACCTCGTTTCAATATCGGCTTTTACGATTAATCTGAATGTTGGTGGTCAATTAAGAAAAGCAAAAATTAAATTCTCTATGTAAACGAACTAGCTGTTATCGTCAAAAAGTACTTATATTTTTATTAGCAGCATCCTTAATGAAATAAAATTCGACTTAAAAGTAAAACCAGACAAAAAGTTACCACTTTTGCATAAACCAGTCACTAGGACAAATGTGGAAAAACTTAAAACTCAATTGTATTAAAAGCCTGTGTGCTCTGATAATATATAACGTGACGATACCGTCAATTAGAGAGCAGTGAATTATCGATCGGACCAATGACGCATTAAACCCGTGTGAGCAGTCTAGGGTCCCTATCAGTCCTGCTTCCTGCCTAGCCCAACCAGTTAAGTCCAGAACACCAATCTCAGCCTCTGCAATATGAATCATTTATTTCAAACATAATGGGTTCATATACAAACCAGACAGACCACATCGTACCATAAAATAGGAAACAACATTTCTATAAGAATTAGCCAAATGTGGCTGTGAATAAGAGAGATATAATAATTGATAGACAGGGCATAACTCAAGAATGATAAATCGTATAATAATAGTTCATAGGTCAAAATAAAGCTCATAATAAGAGGGACATAAATATGAATAATTTAGTTATTTAACAATTATACGATAAAAATTTACTCATAGTATTGATTCATAAATGGATCCCGACAGTTACCATTTATTATTCTCATCGGGATATAACGCTGTCCATATTGATGAAATATTCAATTACAGTCACAACAATGACTCAGTGATTCACTAGATCAGCTGTATACAAACCTTGTTCGGAAGACTGAAGATATATTATAGCACAGAGATAACATAGAAAAGGGAAACAAGATACTCAATGGATGTATTCTGGAAAAAATGGTTACTCACAAAAGTTTATCGAAAAATATCTATTAAACAGACTGTGGAACACAAATTCAGCAGCAAAAGTAGGCAAATGGATAACTTTACACAATGTAAAAAACATCTTCAACATCACAAATGGACTATTAAGGTCACTAGAGATAAGTGTGTCCCACAAAATCAAGAATATTTTCGGATCACTAGTGTACTTACTAAAAGCACCATGACACATGAAAAAAAGGGAAAAAATGAAATCCTACTATCCTCAACGAACACTATAAACTGCCTGCCATCTTCGTCTTTGCTTACATCAGCACCAGTTGTCCGTTAATAGTGTTGACAGAAATTCTCTTATGTTAATGTGTGTGGATAACTATAGAAATAAGTTCAACTGGAAATACATCAAAAAACTGGATAGGGGAAACACAAAATTGCCTGCAAATTTTTAAAATCCTGTTACTCCATTCAAGCAACTATCAGTAGGGATCTATCAGTCAATAAGAAAACGGATTATGAACTGTGATGTAAGAAATCAGTTGAGGATGAAAGAAAATTAGAATAAACAAACAAATAATGATGATATCGTTATGGACAAGAGTCAACTTAATTCCAAACAAATAGAACAGACGATTAATCAATTCATAAAGAGATTTCAATAGCTCTCTTTTCTTTGAAATATCTCTTAACAATGTTTCCAGGAAAGAAAATTGAAGCTTAGAAACTAAATTGTCCATTTCAGAGGACACAACATCTCCAATATTTACAATTATCTTTAAAATTAATGTATATTTGAGACTTAAGTAGTTAAATATAAAATAGATATCAATGTTTATTATTTTTAGAGTCTTATTTTCATCTGAAATACTGTTGTAAACTTTTATGTACATATAGAATGCTTTAGGTTATCTTATCAAAATATTCATTTTTGTCTTCAAATGAAAAGTGTTATATAATACAATAAGAAGATAAAATTTGTTCTAAATTTATGATACTCACTACATTCCCTAAACCAATTCATGGGACTAACTATTATTATTATTAATTAAATTAATTATCAAATCATATAACATTTAGATTTGAACGATCAAAGGAGAATTAGCAGAGAAAAAGTTTTTTTTCGAAAATATTGTTTGTTATACAATCGCATTAGTAGATAAAGATATGAAGGATCCGCCTAGGGGAGCTGGAGAACCTTGATTACAAACCAATAGTGCGAGTGAGCTCCTGAATCCTAAAGAAACAGAAAGTGTATGAACCAGTCTTTGGGCATCAACTACCATGGGATTGCATCTCTTGACGTTTAAACACATAAACATTGGTACAAGGAGGCACCAAACAGATATGCACCACATAAATTAGTTGATTTATGTGAGGGCTGAGATACTACCCAGGTGCCCAAACCAAAGCAGGTGGTTTTATTAAAGGGCAACATCCGGAACCTTCGAACTAAAGGTCTGATCCATAAGGCAGTGAAGCAACGTAAGGAGATGTACTGCCATGGTGGCCGATGACCAACAATAGGTTCATACGCCATTTGTTTCCTCAGGACCTTGGAGCTCATGTTCACCATCGGGTTGGAATCAGGTTTTTCCAACTCCACTAGGTGGACTCTCCGTGTCCACCAACTCGGTTAAAGCGCTGGAACTTCGCTTTCCATCCTGTCAATTTCGTAAACAAACCCGTGGCGCGAGAAAGCAGTAAGTGAGACTTCCTAACATTCAAATTATTTTCTTTTGTCTTTATAGGTTACAAATCTTATTAATCTTAACTTCATACTCATACATATTCACTCCTATAGTTTATAATACTATAATTCATTATCTTGTATATATATTTCAAAAAAATATATATAGGAGTTTATACTGGATATAGTACACTGTCTATCGCTGAAGTATTACCTTCAGATGGTTGTGTGTTAGCCTTAGAGATAACAGATACTTATCTAAAAGATTATTGTATACCGGCTTGGAAAATGGCAAATGTCGAATCGAAAATTGACTTTCGACTTGGTGCAGCAACTCAAACACTACGTAAGCATAGCATTAATCTATATAAACTATGTTTTATATGATTTCTCTCTTATATTTTTGATGTAATAATAATTGTAATGAAATTAAATAAAAGTCGTCTACTAATTTTAAAACCATAAATATATACTGTATGAATATAACACAAATAGTAACACCTATTAATGGAGTATTTAGACTGACATTAAGTAATCTGGTTGTTGACTACTGTAATGTACTTTACTTAACTGATTATATTAGATATTCCGTCACTTAGTTGATGCAGTAGATGTGTTCTGTACTTTTAATTAAAATAATATACTCAGAGAGAGGTTTCGTGGAGATTGTAGCAATTTAATGCTTGAATTTATGAGTAAATTGAAGCTAGACCACTTTGGAAAACCTGGAACCACTGGACGGCCGTTTCATTTTATTGTAGGACTCCTTAACAGTGCGCATCCACGATCCCGCCCCACGAGATTCGAATCCAGGACCTATCAATCTCGCACGCAAACGCTTACTCTTTAGACCACTGAGCCGACCGGGATCCAATGGTGTTAATGTCTAACTTCAACCAATCCACGATATTGCATCACCGTCCACCATTGTCTTAAGTGAGTTGCTATCTCACAGCAAACCCGATTGAACACCACTGGGCAATGCTTCTCACTAAAACTCCAGGAAATTATTATTATTTCTCATAAGAACTTCATGAATTAACTCTTGAAAACAGTCACTAGTGAGCATATGATAGGTCCTGGGTTCGAATCTCATGGGGCGGGGTCATGAACGTGCACTGATGAGGAATCCCATACTAGGTTGAAATGCCGTCCAATGCTTCCAGGATTTTCATGGTACTCTAGCTTCATTTGACCCATGAATTCAATTATTAAAAATAATATACGTTCCGTATAAATGTTGTTAATGGGAAATTAGAATGAGTCTTATTGGTCAATCGATAATATGCGCGAAAATTTCAACTTAACATTTCAAATCTAGTTAACTGTTATGTACCATAAATTGATATTGGATTACATATATTGACAATAGTTTGATGAAGGGTTATGAAACCACTTTCCATTGATAACAATCCATTCAATTTTGCATTATTATTTATAATAAATCATAAAATTTAGTATTATAAGCAAAGATGGATAGTGGCTAGCAGTGGAATCCAGGACGCGCGTTTCTTCCTATTTGGGACTCGTCAGCTGGACGTGCCTGCATCCCAGAGTTGATGTTCACTCTGGGACTCGAACCCGGTACCGTTCGCTTCAAACTCCATCGCGTTATCCACTTAGCTACTGAACAATTTCAGTCCTAAACATCAAATAAAACAATATCAAGTGAATAAAATTTAGTCTTTGAGGTGTTAAATATCCCTTTATAATAACTTTCCTGTAGGAACCATTAATTAGATATATTACTTAATAAATAATTTATATCAATGTGGCAATGGTTCATCGTTAAACGAGAAATACATAAAACTAACAAGTGTAGTTTTCGAACTCATTGAATAAATACAAATTTTATTTAATGTAAATAGGTGGTGTTGTGATGTGTGCTACTTATATCGACATAATTAGTATATAACGCGAGTCAGAAATATAATATCTGGCAGCAGAAGATTGAGAAGATCAAGAAGGAAAGAACAAAACAGAAAATGATTGATATAGAAATGACGGAACAGTCAAGTATAAGACGAATGATTAACATTTGCAAAGGAATAGTCAAGATTATGACCATTGATTTATATTTCGCAAATGAAATATTTACTGTATGACTTTCAGATTTTAGTAAGGTGTTCTGTAATTTAATATATAAGTACATTTGTTTGTCCCCATTCATGTTCTTGATTACTATAGTGTCATGATAAAATCATTACTGTAATGATAAATTATCTTAAACAATATATTCATCAACTGATCAAATACATATTAGTCATTAAAGGAACTACACTATACAGGTTACTTGATAAACTAGTCTGTTAATGATAAATAGTCATTGTATTTATTATATAATGAATCAAATATAAAGAAAAATTAGAATTGAACACTATTAAGGCATATTAACTAAAACAAGTAATAATGAACGTATGGTTAACAAACATTAGTCTATTGAAACTTATAATGTTAGGCTCTATTTCTAAGTATCCTTTCAATTGATTGTTGTTTTAATGTACATATTCGATACAATATTAACAATAAGAATAATCGTTTATTTTTTTGAAATTATATGTTTAACATAATATGTAATTTTCAGGTGTAATAACTTGTGCCTGTGTGTACTGTTAATATATAACGTAATGATACCGCCAATTAGAGAACATTAACTTATCAACCGGATCAATGACGCATAAAACCCGTACGAGGAATGTCGAGTCTTTATCGGACCTGCTTCCCACCTAATCCTGCCTGTTGAGTTCAGAACACCAATCTTAGCCTTCGTGATCTGAATCATGTATTTCAAAGATACTGGGTTCATATACAAACCAAACAGACCATATCATATCATAAAATAGAAAATAATAGTTTCACAATACCTAGCCAAAAGTGGCTGTAAATGTAGGAAACTGTAATTAATAGACTGGGCATAACTCAAGAATGGTAAATCGTATAATCGTATAGTTCATAGGTTAAAATAAAGCTTATAATAAGAGGGACATAAATATACATAATTTAGCTACTTAACAATTATACGGTAAAGATATGTATATCGTATTTGTCCATAAATAGTTCTCGAAAGTTACCATTCACAATTCTCTTTGAGATATAACATTAGGGTACAATATTTCTGTTACTTTTAGTGACCTAATGAAAATATAATGTACACATAAGTACATGAAATAAGTAAATTAAACCATGTACAATAAAATGAAGTCCTCAGAAGATAAATTAAAAATCTTTGCAACAGAGAATAAGCTTCCGATTCAAGAGTATAAGCTTTTATTTCGGTCACTTCTTTTAATCTGTTAATTGAGTATTTAGTGTGCTAGATATGGTATTGTATAGCTTTTATACCTTTGGTTGAAATCATGAACCAATCGATGTTAGATCACAGTTGTAAACCTGGAAGCACTGGACGACCGTTTCGTCCTATTGTGGGACTCCTCAGCAGTGCGCATCCACGATCCCGCTTGCAGAATTTGAACCCAGGGTCTTTAGTCTCGTGGGCGAAAGTTTAACCTACTCGACCACTGAGCCGGCATCCAATAGTGTTAATGTCTAACATCAATCAAAAACTTAATGATCTCCACAACCCCTATACTGATTTTATACCCTTGTTTGTATGAATAAGTTTTTTTTGAATCTGAGTCAAGTTCTTTTGAAAGATATGGAGATAGAAAAATATGAAAAGACTGGATGGTTTGTAGTTGATACAATAATACTTATTTAATTGATTACATTTTTCAAATGCCTGTCTAACACCATATTTATAATTATATCGAAAGATTTACCATTTACACAACTAGTTGTATCTAAATAATGATACTTTTCAAGATTAAAAGGGATGGTGGATGCTCACTGCTGAGGAGTCCCACAATGGGACGAAATGCCCATCCAGTGCTTTCAGGCTTTCCATGATGGTCTAGCTTCAATTGACTCATGATCTCAACAATTGAAATTACTAATATCCTCACAAAAACCCCTTCTGATAATAATCAACATATGCTCACTAGTGACTGGCTTCAAGATGTATATTCTGGAGTTCCAGTGAGAAGCAGTGACCAGTGGAGTTCAACCGGGTCAGTTGTGAGATACTAACTCACTGATGACAATGGTGGATGTGTCGCTCAATTTCGTGGATTAGTTGAAGTTAGACATTAACACCATTGGATGCTGGCCAACTCAGTGGTCTAGTGGTTAAGCGCTTAAGCGCGAGATCACTAGGTCTTGGGTTAGAATCCCCCGAGGCGGGATCGTGGATGCACACTGTTGAGGAATCTCACAATAGGATGAAACGGCCGTCCAGTGCTTTCAGTGTTTCCATGATGGTCAAGCTTCAATTGACTCATGATCTCAACAATTCAAATTAAAAGGTTACACAAATTATAACATGATGCAAAATGTAGTTTGTTATATTGCCTTATCATTTAGTACATTTATTACATATAAACTTTGAAAGTAGGTTAGTTTTACAATTTAGAATGTACTTTTCTCATCAGTGAATCGTAAGCACTGAAAAATGTACTGAATATTATAATAGTAACAGGTACTTATGTTTTTTTTGTATGTTGTAAGTGTAAAAATGTAAGTCAGTAGCAAATAGATTAAGTTATATCCAACGCTTATAAGTTGATCAACATAAAAAAAAAATACCAAAAATAAAATAATGATCTCATATCATTATATTTCTTGATCAATAAACTTCTATCTATAAATTAAAAGTGAGAATATAATTCAGTGGTTAAAATTTAGTACTGAGCTGATATTGTAGTGAACAAGAAGACAAGTGGAGATAATCGAATGTATTTGAGCACAAAACGACAGAACATCTCATTAAAATCTGTGAACCCTACTGTAATTACTTCATTTGCGTCATATCAATCAATTGTCTCAAACTTGATTGTTTCATTTGCAAATATCAATCTATCGTCTTAGATTTCATTGTTCCTGTGTTATTCATACCAATTGCTTTCCTTTTTGATCTTCTTAATCTTCTGCTGCCAGACAATATATTACTGACTCGTGTTATATACTACTTATGTCAATATAAGTAGCTCACATCACAATATTTGTGAATAGATGTAGTTTAAAATTAAGGACTTTTTTTAGTATGTTTTTTTACCTATTGACTTTATAAATTGATTTTTAATTTTATTTGATTATATTTTTAGAAAATTTGATTGATAATGGACAAAGTGAAACATTCGATTTTGCTCTTATTGATGCTGATAAACAAAATTATAGTAATTATTATGAATTATGTCTTAAACTGATCCGACCTCGTGGTATAATTGCAATTGATAATGTAAGTATCAGTAGTTTTTTTCCTTTATCATATTAGTAACCTTTAATTTTATTTGTTTTAAATGTAGGTTAATTGTTTTATATATGAAGACATTAGTGAACAGATGTGATAAGTACTTAATGAATGAAAGTTATGATATTCTATTTAACTTTTCTGTATTCTTTAATTGTACATACTTTTCATTTTTTATTGTTTGTTTAAATCTTCCCACTGATGTTTAGAACTGCAGTTGATCAATCTCTTATGTGTATCTTGTACGGATTGCCTCGATATTGCCTTAAGTCACAAGCATTATAAGCAAAGATGAGTGGTAACTAGCAGTGAAATTCACGACTCACGTATCATTCAATTTGGGACTGATCAATTGAAGACCTAAACGTTAATAGGAAGATTCAAGCAGAGAGTAAATAATGAATTTACACTTCACCCCATTGCACAAGATAACGACTATCAGAACTCAGTAGTTATGTGGATAATGAAATGGCATTTGAGGCGAGAGGCACTGGGTTCGAGTCCCAGAGTGAACATCGATCCTGGGATGCAGGTACATTCAGCTGATGAGTCCAAAATAGGACGAAACAACATTTATGGATTCCAGTGTTATTCACCATTCATCTTTGCATATATTGTACATACTTATATTTCATATAGTCAACTATAAATTTGAGGAATATCATGAACATATTATCTGTCACAAAACTCAAATGAAAGTTTCCCGTGAAATCGGTTACATATTCGCCAGCGATGTTAATTAGTATTATTGCATTATTTGATGGATAAAAATTTTTACTTCTGCAATTTAAAGGTTAATGAAATGTTCTATAATTAGTAGTAGTTATAATAGTAGTAGTATATTTCACTACAGGAAATATATAAACATTTCAATCAAAGAAGGGTTTTTGTGGATAATATAGTAATTTCAGTAGTTGACTTCATGAATCAATTGAAGCTAGACCTTCATGAAAAATCTGGAAGCATTGGACTTCCTATTGTGAGACTCCTCAGTAGTGAACGTTCACTTCGTGAGATTCGAACTCATTACCTATCAGTCTCAAGCATGAGCGCTTAACCATTAGACTACTGTTTCCTATATTAAGACGAAAAAGCTGTAAAATGCTTCCAAGTTTTTTCATGGTGGTCTAGCTTCAATTGACTCATGAATTCAACTATTCATTTAATATTTGTTTAGTTTTGAAAAATCTGAAAACTTTCTTGTAAGAAATTTATATATGATATTATTTTCTTAAATAGATGTTATCAAAGTTTCTTTTTATTATTATTATTGTTGCGGTAAACAATTCAATGTAAAGTAGTAGACTGAAAATATTGACATTTGATTCACATTTGCTGTTGTCGTTGTCGTTGTTGTTGTCGTCGTCGTTGTTGTTGTTGTCGTCGTCGTCATTGTCGTTGTTGTTGTTGTTATTACAAGATCACACAAAAACAATCGAACATGAATGATCAAAATTAGTTGTATTTTTTCTATAGAAGACAATCTTATTCAGGTTATGAAATGTATATTCCTTTAGTTAGATTAGATTATTGTGTATTCAATGAAAAGTTAGGTTGTCATATTGTTCATTGTTTAATACATATAAGTATTTGGCAAGACTATAATTTATGGATGAACTAATCAGGTATAAGATAAAAAGCTCTCGAATTTTGGAGCGAAATTCACTCATCCATTTGGCTAAATAGTATTTTGGCATTAAAGCTTATGTCAGTACGTGATGTAACTGTAAATCATACTGGTTTATAATCCTCATTTGGTCTTAGTTATTAATGGGTGAACCCTCTCAAGGTCACCTTAGCGTCTTTCAAAGGTCGTCCGTAAATTATAGTTTTACTAAGTATTTCACATATTATAATAATTTATGTTTAACCTGAGAATATATAAACGCAAATATCTACAAAAGTGTCATTATGATGTTGTTTTTTTTGAAAAATGTAATTTTTTTGAATACAGTTAAACAAATGAGTACTTATGAACTTTTACTTGGTCAGGAATAAAGTATTTTGCTGTAGTAAAAATTGACGGTATATAGGGAAGCAAAATTATTGGTTTCAGATTAGTAGTCTAAATGTGTCTCCATGCTTGTAAGGTATGAGTGGCCTGCCTTGATCTTATATAAGTTTGTGGGATGAGCGGTACTAAGGAATCCGGATCTAGAATGTAGTAAATGTTCAGTACTACTTTTATTTTCAATCTCTCTCCGGTCTAAGTGAGTTAGTAAGAACAACGTTTAAAATTCATAATGCTTACTTACTTATGCCTGTTACTCCTCGTGGAGGAGCATATGCCAAACACCAGCACTCTCCATCTAATCCTGTCCTGGGCAATTCTTTTCAGTTGTTATTCATCCTTTTCATATGTACTTCTATTTCCCGACGTATTGTGTTCTTTAACTTTACACTTTTCCACTTTCCTTCGTGATTTCAAGTTAGGGCTTGCTTCGTGATGCAGTTTGATGATTTGCGTAATGTATGTCCTATCCATTTCCATCGTCTTCTCCTAATTTACTCTTCATCTGGAATCTGGTTTGTTTCCTCCCATAGAAGGCTGTTGCTAATGGTCTCCGGCCAATGGATGTTGAGTATCTTGCGTAGACAACCATTTATGAGTACTTGTACCTTCTTGATGATGGTTGTAGTAATTCTCCACGTTTTAGCTCCGTACATTAGAACTGTCTCAATGTTCGTATTGAAGATTCTGACTTTGATATTGATTAACAGTTGTTTTTAGTTGTATATATTCTTCAGTTGCACGAATGCTGTCTTTGCCTTGCTAATTCTTGTTTTTACGTTTGCATCGGATCCTACATCGATAATACTTCCCAGGTAAGTGAAGGATTCCACAAATTCCATAGTTTCGCCATCAAGTGTATTTGGGTTGGTAAAATCCATAATAATCTTGACGCAATTACCTGTGCAAATATTACATAAGTTTTTTTGTTTTAATTCCTTTTCAAGGTCATTTGGTCCGGGCTTGTGGTCGATGAGACCGATCAAACTTCCGAAACTGTTGGTATAAGGAAAGTAAATGACTTGATAGCTGGAGATAATCGTGTACGAATCTCTTTGCTAAATCTTGGAGATGGGTTAACAATAGTTGTGAAAAAATGATCTTTGGGATACATATTCTACAAACATACACATGTATTTGTATCTACATTCATGTTGATACATATACGTGGATATCGATCTAGGTTGACATTCATTTTTTGGTATAACCGACATTACGTAATCAGTTTATTATTTTTCGAAATGTGATTTCATTTTCCAATATTAATGATATTGTAATAAATTATTTTTATTGAACTTTTCAACACAAAATGAGAAAAAAACGTGAAACAATGTAGCTTAATCTATACTAATGATACTAAAGTACTAATTCTCAACAATGGAATATCATACTTATTCGAGTAAAGTTGATGTAATCATAATTTAGTGACGATTCAACAACAATGTTAAAATGATTTAGTGATTTTGAAGCTACGTTTTAGTCATTGAGCAGAAATTCTGTGTAAATGATAAATATTTTGAGATAGAGTCGGTAAAACTTTATCATTAACCTTAAAAACTCATTAACAACTTACACATTCAATGACTCAGAAAATAATGGCCGATTGACCTTTTTAGACATACTTTTAAGTCGAAGAAAGAATAGTACTATAAGACGGAAACGAACTCGGACGACACAATACTTAAATTTTCATAGTTCATGTCCATTGCAAGACAAGTGAAGCTTGATTAAGTGTCTATTTAAGGGAACTCAAAGAATTTGCACTGCTGACACAGTTGTAAAGTTCTTTCTATACAATGAATAATTGTTTCTCTCCAATTTGCTAACTTTTTTTTTACTTGAACTTTTATTTAATTGACCTTTATTAACTTTCATATATAAATGCCCTGACAAGTATATGTGTGACCTGATTGTTCGAATTGTATAGCGCAATTACATTACATTTTCATCAGATCAACTCCATCTTCTCAATGTTTTATCGAAATTTATAAAAAGGGACTAATTGTTTTAAATTCAATAATTCACCAGCTAGCCTATATTCAAAGAGTCACTGATTAGATGATCCATTCAACAGGTTACTGAAAATGAAATGATTCAAGCATATATTCCCTTATTTACAATCTATGTATAAACTACATTAGAAGGATTTAAGTATTTGACACTTGTATTTACACTCAATGATAACGAACATAATTTTTTTATAATTCTCAATGTTCTGAACATAGTACAATAGTAGTTGTACCGTTCCTTTTTAAATATCCTTCAAACCACTGGAAATTGTTTTTCCAATCCTAGCTAATGCTTAATATCATAGTTTTATGATCTAGTTTATCAACAATTAGTCATAAACCATCCAATTTGTTTCTGCTTGAATACTTCAGATAAATATTTCTAATCATAGGAAATATCTGTGATGTCATAAATACATTTGAAAATCAAACTTGTGAGTGTACACACACCTGACCGTTGTTGCTACCTTGACGTGGTGGTCGGGCTTGCCTATCATGATGAAGCAACTGAGCTATACTGGCTGGAACAACCGTTCCTCAAGGTCCTACCATGCCAGACAGGTTGGTTGAAGAGCGGTAAGACTAAAAGCAACAAATCCAAGGTCCGAAGGCGAAGTCGTACTGCTGACTGTACAGAGGTGTGACAGCAGTAAGGTGTTTTCTTCAGACAACCAGCATAACAGCGATGCTGCCTTCCCAAAAGCAGGGGAGGGGTTAGAAAATGTCGACCCTAAAAATGCACACCTCGCCTTATCCCATGGATATCCGTCTCCGGCGGTAAGGTCTCAACAAGTACGGAGCTACCACAAAAATTACTCATAAAAAGTTCGTGTGTGACCGACCTCAAGCAGTTGTCCCTTGGGCACTGCGATCACACTCTCAGGTCACTATGACCACCTCTAATCCAATTTCCTTTTCAGGTACCTCCAGCAGAACCCTTCCACGGTGTGGGCAACCGGGAAGTAATAACCGCCCTCATACCTCTAACAGCACTCAAGACCACTGTATTCATAATCAACCTCCCTCTTCAATTTCTATTATTCCCCCTACATCGACTTTCAAATCTAAACTCCCTCTTTCGGCTTCCTCCTCAAGTGTCACCACAACCAACGATTCTAGTGCGCAAAACACTGTCCCAGGTCTACTGAAACCTCGTTCCAAACTACACATTGGAGCCTTCAATATACGCACACTATGCTAAATCGGTCAGCAGACTTCCTTGGCTAAAACTTTAGATTGATGTATGCTGTGTTTCCAAAACACGCATACAGGATCCTAGTGTGGTCATTCACTTGACCTGACCTCGGCAAAACGGAGTGCCGACGAGATACACCCTCCGTGTATCTGGTGACCCGATGGCTAGTTCTCGTGGACTGGCAGGTGTAGGCATAGCACTAAGCATGATGGCGGAACAAGCGCTATCAGAGTGGATCCCCGTTAATATTCGTCTATGCGCTGTTTGGCTAAACGTCTCCGTAAGAACTTCAAAGGATAGGGACACACGTCGTTGCCCTTTCGTCGTTTCTACCTACGCTCCCACTGACTGCAGTTCGGATGAAGTGAAAGATGAATTTTACAGAAAGCTGTCTGAACTTCTTCAGAAAGCTGAACGTTCAGACATAGTACTCGTAGCAGGCGACTTTAATGCCCAGGTGGGTAGCTTAAACGAAACAGAAAGACATTTAGGTGAGTATTTTAGTATTCCGGCACAGAGAACAGATAATGGTGATCGTCTGCTGCAACTTTGCTCAGACAATCGTTTATTTTTAGCAAACACAAATTTTAAGCATAAGGAGAGACATCGTCTAACATGGCGACCCCCTGCACCAAACCAACGATGGACTCAAATAGACCATATTGCCATCAGTCATTGTTGGAGAGGGTTGATAGAAGATTGTCGCTCATTCTGGAGTACCTGCTTGGACTCCGACCATGCCCTAGTACGAGCACGCATCTGCTTGCGCCTCTCTGGACGCAAAAAAGCCACACAAAAAAGATTCATTAGAACCGAATTGAGTAATGAGAAAGCCAAAAGTAGGTTCCAGGAACAACTGAGGTCACACTTAGGTAGTTCTGAAAACGAGACTGACCCAGATGTTGCTTGGAAAGTTATACAAGCATCTGTGAAAACAGCAGTGACATCTACTAGTGATTTAAACCACAGGGTTACAAAGAACCAATGGATTTCTTCAAGGTCTATTGCACTGATAGATTCTCGTATACTCATCCCATCAGGTTCTGAACACGATGAAGAGCGTAAAGAAATCAGATCCAGGTTAAGCAAAAGTTTAAGGAATGATCGTGAGCAGTGGTGAGCAACGAAAGTAAAAGAGATGGAAAAGGCGGCGGCTATAAGGAACACAAGACAACTCTACAGACTAATAAAAGAAACTGGAATTAATAAATCAAGTGTAAGTCAGACTATTTCGGAAAAAAACAACACTCATCTGCTCCCAGTCCAGACGCTTAGAACGATGGGCAGAACATTTTAAGGAGCGATTCAGTTGGCCTTTAGCTACTCTGCCACTACCCTCTATTCCCAGACAGTGTGAATGGAACATTGAAGTAGATCCCCCAACTCTAGCTGAAGTTCAAAAGGCTATAGGTAATCTGAAACGAGGAAGGGCATCTGGTCCAGATGGATTGGCCCCAGAGGTCTTTAAGTATGGTGGTCTATTTTTAGCGATTAGGTTGAATAATATTTTAGCTAATATCTGAGAGTTAGACGTTATCCCATCTAACTGGTCACAATCACTTATCGTCCCAATATTTAAGAAAGGGTCAAAATCATCCCGTGACAACCATAGAGGGATTAGTTTGACTAATATAGTATCTAAAATACTAGCCTCGATAATTATCGGACGCCTAACTAAGACTCGTGAACTACAAACACGAGAGAATCAGGCTGTCTTCAGACCTGGTCGTGGCTGCATCGACCACATATTCACCATTCGTCAGGTTCTAGAACACAGGCATACTTATCGGCGTCCGACAATGGTAGTCTTCCTTGACTTAAAAGCAGCGTTTGACTCTGTTGACCGAGGGGTTCTGTGGCAGTGTCTGTCATTGAAAGGCGTACCTCAGAAGTACATAAAACTTGTGAAGGCTCTTTACTCGAACACTACTAGTCGAGTGAGAGCCTATGGCGAACTGTCATCTGCTTTTGCAACCTCAAGTGGGGTCCGTCAAGGCTGTCCACTTTCTCCATTTTTGTTCAACTTCATCATAGATCTACTGATGGAAATAACGCTCTCATCGACTGAATTCTCAGGTATTGATCTCCTACCAGGAGGTACACTTATTGACTTAGAATACGCAGATGACATGGTCCTGTTTGGTGAAGACGCTGATGAAATGCAGAGTCTTTTGGTAGCACTGAGCAACAATGCCAGAATGTTTGGGATGCGCTTCTCTCCCTCCAAATGCAAGTTGTTGCTTCATGACTAGTCTGCGTCAACACCTGAACTAAGGATAGGGAGTGAAGTAGTCGAACGCGTCGACAACTTCACTTATCTTGGAAGTCTGATCAGCCCTAATGAGTTGGTGTCTGACGAATTCTCAGCACGGATTCGAAAAGCTCGCTTGGCCTTTGCCAACTTACGTCATCTATGGTGCAGGCGAGATATCCGTCTATCAATTAAGGGACGAGTATACTGCGCGGCAGTTCGTTCCGTTCTACTATACGGCTGCGAAACATGGCCTTTAAGAGTAGAAGATATTCGTAAGCTACTAGTATTTGACCACAGATGCCTTAGAAATATTGCTGGTATCTGCTGGGATCACCGGGTAAGTAATAGTGAGGTTAGACAGAGGGTATTAGGGAATGTTAGTAAATCAGTTGATGAGGTTATGAATCTTCATCGACTGAGATGGTTGGGCCACATGCTGCGTATGCCTGAACACCGATTACCACGATGCGCAATGCTAACCGGTGTTAGGGGATAATTGGAAGAAAGTTAGGGACGGCCAAACCGAAACGTGGCATCAGTGCTTGAAGTCACTAACTTCTGGTCTGAGCCATGTTGGTAGATGCAGACTGCCTGGTTGTGGTCCGCGTGACTATCGTAACCAATGATTGGAGACTCTTGGTGACATGGCTCAGAATCGATCACAATGGCGTAGGTGTATACACTCTCTGTCTTCGTTTATACTAAGAGATTAAAATCACTTCAAATCTTTCTTTCTACGAACTAATTCTTTCTTCCTGTAATATCTCCTTATACACAATCTTTCTTCTATATATTACTACCACTGGATTAAGTACCTCTATGA